AAGTTTTGGATTGATTGGATTCTTTGTGCTCCAAATATTATTATCAAGGGTTAATAAAATTTGTACTTTCTAAAATTTAAGTAAATTTTATTTTGGTCGTTAATTTTAAAAGGTTTTAATTGAATTTTTAAAATTTCAAAATTATCTTATTTTAATTCTTTTATCTATAAAATTATCATTATGTAGATGGTATAGTTAGCATTTTACGTGACATATAAAGAAATTAAAATAAAATTTTACTCAAAATTTAAAAATTAAGGTAATATTATCTGAGTTTTTTATATTTTAGATATATTTTATAAAATAATAAATTTAAATAATATTCTTATGTTTCTATTGTAATATAATTTATTAGTTAAATAATTATTTTAATAATAAAATTAAGTTAAGTTTTTGAAAATTCTTTTTTTCTTAGTTTCATATCATTTTAAAACATTAAGCAAAGATTCAATTTAAAAATTAAATGGAAAACTCCTTGTTATTTTAAAATATTAAGTAAAATTTTATATATTTTTTAAAAATCAATTTATTAATTTATTCATAATTTTTTTCTATTGAAAAACTTTATTCTGAATGTATTATTTATTAAAATTTTGTATCTATATCTATATATAAAACTAATCCCTTCAAAATTAAACTAATCAATTTGTTGCCAAATCGGCATTTCCATTGTTTATCCAAATCATCAAATAATTGCCATATCAACCCCACAGCTCTTGACATGTGTCGTTTTTCAACTGAATTCACTTGCTTTTTACAACTCGCTGCCACCATCAGTGACCACCCAACCCATACCACCACTTTTGCATATCTAAACCCATCACTGATCACAACCCAGATCTTGCCAAAAATTCATCATACTACCGTAATTAAAAACAAAAATATCACAAAAAATTCTACTAATTTTTTTTTTTTATAAAACCTAAAAAAGACTACAAAAAACAACAAATCCACATTAAATAATAATCAATAACCATAATCCAAAATTAAAATGGAGTTTTGAAACCCCTTATAACAAATCCATATTGATAAAAAAAATTTTGAAATTACAAATTATTGAAAAATGTAAAATATGAAAAAAAAAATCCACAAACACATACTCAATCCATAAGTAAAAATCAAATTCTAAAACATGCACCTAAGAATCTATAAGAAAAGTTGTGTGTTTAAAATTATGAAAAATACATTAAATTTTTCAAAAGCTTCGACAATTCCAAATTTTCCTTTTAAATTCCTGAATAAATTTTTTTAAAAATCATAACCAACATATGATGTAACAAAAAGATATACAAAAAATTTTAACAATTCAAAAGGATTATTTTAAAAAATATCTTTTGATCTTAAACATTTTTCTTAAAATTCATTTTAGATCTCATCCAAAGTAAAATAATTTGAGAGTACATAAAGGGTATTTTAATTGATGAAAAAAATTTGAAAAAAAAAAAGAGAGGAATACAATATGAAAAAGTGTGAAAAATAATTTTAATGAGATAAAAGAGAGGATGACAAAGTGAAAAAAAAAAAAAAAAAAACTAAAAGTGGCTGTTGAAAGCAAAAAAATAATAAAAAAAGAGAAATAGAAAGTTAGGGTTTTAATTTCTAAGTTAAGAAAAGATGTGGTGTGAAAAATAAATGAAAGAAGGAATTGGGATTGATTGTTTGAGGGTGAGCCCAATAAGTTTGGCCTAATTTATTATTATTAATATTAGTATTTTTTAAGAAGTAATTTTTAAATAAGGAATGTTTAAAAAGTTTCAACAAAATTCTTAATTACAAGGATTAGTTTTCAAAGAATCTTGATAAAAAAATGAAAATATACAATAAAATATAAGGAATTTCTAAAAAAGTAAAATTGAAACTGTGTTATAATTAAATAATAAATAAAATAATTAATTAATTTTTTATTAAATTACAAAAGATGAACAAAAAAATTTGCTATTATTGCAATTACTACAATAGTATTTAAGGTTTATTTGAATAGATAATGAGATTAATTTTAACGAAATTAAAAATAATGATAAAAGTGAGATTAATTACTATTAAAGTAAAATTAAAATTAATGGTGAAATACATATTTAAATGCAAAAGCAATAATAGCGGTGAGATCAAATGTAGTTAGAATAAAAATGATATTTAAGGATATTAAATTAAAAATTATATATAATAAAAAATTAAATGATTTAGCATTTATAAAATTTATTTATTATATAAAATTTATAAATAATATATATTTTATTTAAAATTTTTATTAATATATTATATAATAACTTTTTTTATTATATTCAATTAATAAAATTATTTCATAATAATCAAAATAAAAAATATATGTTTGAAAGGCATTTTGACATATAATGATAAATTCAGAGGACAAAAATAAAAAATAAAAAATAAAAAAAAATATCGGCCGGTCACCAACTTAACTAAAAGTGACCAGTTGATGACCGGTGTTTATTCAACTCCATTGAAACACCATTTGGATGCAAAATTTGCAGTTAACACAATTTTTTAGAGTAATTACACTGTTACTAATGGTGCCTTGAAATCCAAACTCATCCTTAGTGGTTGGTTATACATAATAATAATCTTCAAAAAATTTGTTAAAATTTACGAGTTATACGTAATAATATTTCTAAAAATATTTTTTTGACATGTGACGAGTATTTGATAATATTTACAAATGGATATAAATTATATTTGCAAATGTATTTATATTATGTTATTACAAATAATTAATTATTATATATTTAATTTTGGCAATTAACAAACTATATTTATATTTTGTATTAATATATAATATATGTTAAAACATACAAAATAAATTTTATTTAAGTAAATTATTAAAATATTATTTAAATTAAATAAAAAAAATCCCCGACATAGCGGCGGTCATCATTCTTGTTATAAATAATAAAAAAAGACAATTAGATCAGTCTATACCGTCACTAATCAAGTAAAGAAAAGAAATAAAATTGTTGAAAATAATATTTTTTTTATTTTGTATAAATATAAACTTTTAATAGAAAACAGGTTCAAAAAAGATTTTTTAACAGAAAAAATATTTTTGAATAGATTAATGTTATTTTAAAAAATGAAAATATTTGCTTAATATTTTAAAAGGATATGGATTTTTTATTTAATATTTTTAAACCAATATAAAAAATTTATTTAACTTTAAAAATGATATGGAACTTTTAAAAAAGGATTTTGAAAATTTTTTTACTTTTTTAAATTTTTTTTTATTAAAATTATTAGTTTACTAATAAATCATATCATAATAAAAATAAAAATATTTTAAATTATAATATTTTATAAAATATATTTTTAAATAAAAATATTTTTATTTAATTATTTTTTTTTCTTCTTTACAGAATATAGTTGAAATGGAAAAAAGAATCAATATTCAATATTTTTAATAGAAAATAAAATTTTTGAATAAAAATAATATTTTAATTATAATTTATCAGTAAAATAATATTTGTAATACAAAATAGATTTTTTTAATTTGCTATTAAAAGTAAAATACTATTTAATTAGTAAAGCTAAAGTATATATCACAATAAAAATATAAAAATAATATTTTAAATTTAATTTTTATAAAATATATTTGAAAAATAAAAAAATCGAGAGAAAAATTCTTGATCCTTAAATTTTTAATGAAATTCTATTTTGATCCTTTTATTTAGTACATAAAAATATTAACCTGTGATACTAATTAATATTTATTATCAATTTAAAAAATTATATTGAGAAAAAAGCAAAATAAGATAATTTATATAATTAAAGATTTCATTTAAAATTTTAAAAAATTAAAAATTAAAATAAAATTTGATTCAAAATTTAAAGACTATGATACAATTAATTTTATTATCGATAATTTAACATATTTCATTAATCATTACTCTTTTTAAAAATAAGGATCTACTGTCTTTTAATTTTTTTTAATAAAAACAAACTCAAATATTTCATCAATTTAGATGAAACAGTCCAAATGTATTTATTAAATATCTTTTTATAAATAAGAATTAGGGTAGGCAACTCAACCTACACTATAGGTCAATTTTTTTTTTCAAAAATTAAATTTCAGGTCGGGTTAAAATCAGATTAGATAATATTAAAACAATATCGAGTTCGAATTTTAGATAAATTTTATCTGATTTGATATGATATTATATAAAAATAAATTTCAAATTAATTTTTTTATTTATATATATTTATATAATTATATATTTAAATATTTATATTTTAAAAATAATATTTTATATTTTAAAAAATAATATTTTATTAATTTCGAATCGGATCGAATATGATTTATATAATATTAATTCGAATTCGAATTCGAATATTAAAAAATAAAAAAATTTAAATCAAATCAAATTTAAATTTAACAAATATAAAATTAAATCAAATTCAAAATAAATAAAAATCTATCTTGATCCGTTACCATCCACTGTTTTATCCAAAAGAAAACAGTATATATCCAATAAAGAATGAGCAGAAAAAATAGACTTAATGCAAAGGAAAAGTAAATAATAATGACCAGAGAACTATTAACTATATTTAATTTGCCTTAGATATTAATGAAGGTTAAAATAAAAAATATTATTTTATTTTATTAGAAAATCCACATAAATAAAAATTTTAACTATCTTGCAGATTTCGGTTCATCGTCTTCGTCATTTCAAAATAATATAATTTTTATTATTAGATAAGCCACATAAATCATAATCAACTCAAAATAAGTACGATTAAATTGAAGTTGATTATTTTTTACACGGATATTATATTATTGAAATTAATACTTAAAAATTAAAAATTTTAAAAAAAATTATGGGTGTAATAATTTTTTTAATTAGATAAATAATAAAATAAAAAATTTAAGAATAAATTAAAAAAATAAAAAACATACAACTAATTAAAATTATTAAACAGTGTTTTTAATTAGATTTGTAAGTAACCCTTTTTTTTTAGAAACAGGCCAGAACCTAAAAACGAATTTTGAGGATCATAATTTTCTGGTCATATTAGTTCAGTCTTCCGATTAAAGGTTTAAAAAAAAAAAAAAAAAATCCCTAAAATCACATTTAGAAAGAGGGGCAATGGGAGTGATAAAAGGAGGCAGAGTCTCAGGCACATTGCCGAACGATGAGTCGTTCGCCGTGCACTACCCGGGCTATCCTAAGACGACCGCTCGCGCACTCCAGACTCTTGGAGGAAGCGAAGGGATTCTCAAGGCAATTTTATATACTATTTCTTTTTCATTTTTAATTTTCAATAATTTTAAGCCCTTGAAAAGAATTCGCTTTTAATTTTCATGCTTCTTCTTTTTTTTTTTTCCTTGTGCAAGCTTTGAAATATTTATTTATTTTGTATTATCTCGGGGATTTCGATTTTTTTTTTTTTACAGGCTCGTAGTTCACAGTCGAACAAATTGGAGCTCCATTTCCGGCCCGAAGATCCGTATTCGCATCCTGCATTTGGGGAACTTCGTCCCTGTAACAATTTGTTGCTTAAAATATCGAAAAAGAAGTGTTCTAATGGCCAAACTGCCGAAGCTTCTGGTAAATTACAAGAGTGTTCAACTTCCGGAGCAACTGATTCCGAAAATACGAAACAGCCATCTCAAGTTGAAGTGCAGATATCGGAAGAGGAACAAACTAACCTTTGTGCTGATATCGTTTCTCGAGTCTCCGAGGCTTATCATTTTGATGGTTAGAATTTGATTTTTTTTTTTTGTTTTAAAAACAAACTAAGGCTTATTATTGCTTTGAAGTTTGACTCTTCTTTTTTGGTGAAGGAATGGCTGATTATCAACATGTTCTTGCTGTTCATGCGGATGCTGCCAGGAAAAGAAAGAGAAATTGGGTGGAAGCAGAGGAGCGGCCCTTTGGTGAGGACTTTATGGTTATCACTTCAAAATGTAATTGAAACTCAATAAAGTTCTCATTGATAAGTATTTTTTTTTGTAATTTTTTGACAAAAGGTGAGTTCATGGATGTGGAACAGGAGGATGTGATGATGATATTGCCCCCTCTCTTTTCACCCAAGGATATGCCGGAGAATATAGTGTAAGAAATCTCTGACATTGTAATTTGCTCATATCATGTAGTTTGTTTTTTTCCTTTCTTTTCTGTTTTTTGATAAAAGGGAGATTATTAGTTTAAGTTCATAATCTTAATTTTGAATAGGCATAAGTGTAAGACAAGTTGTTTTTACCATTAATAAGGTGAGGGGCATTGTTCAATGTATTGACTTACAAAGAAAAATTTTTATTTTTGTAAAAAGGTTAAAGTGAATAATTAATAGATATATTTATTTCCTAAAAAGATCATATTTCTAATAAATAGATATATTTATTTCCAGAAGATAAAGCTTTTAAACAATTTAGAACTTCATTGTGCAGATGAATATATGAAAGTAATTGACGTTTGCAGTATATGACTTATCAATCCTAATGCTGATTGTAGTTAAGAAGTTAAAGGGCGAAATTGGCTTCACTTCTTTTAAGAAACCTCGAAAGAAAAATGGGAGGTGTAGTCATGTAGGAAAACTTATCTTTGAAATGTTGTGTTTTATTTTGAGCTATCTAATTCTAGGTTATTTGGAAGTTTTGATTTGAAGTGCTATGTTGTTTGCACTAACTCTGTAAGTTCTTATCATTTCAGGTTAAGACCATCGACCATCTTAAATTCAAAAAAGAAACAAGAGGGAGTTGTACAGCATAGTGCTGAGGTATTGAGATTGACTAAAATATTTTCTCGGTCCGTACACCATTTTCTTTCTGCAACATATTTACTAAACACAGTATACATGCACATGTCTACCAGCCCTCACAGCTAACTAATGCGGATGCACATGCTCAATCATCTACACTGCTGTGTCTTGTGTCTTTAATAATATACCATATGTATGGTTTATCCATGTGCTAGTACATTTTTAGAAACTAATTTGCTGGTATCAAAATGCTAAGTGGAAAGGGTGGCTTATCTTTAGCTGTATCATTTTCATAGGCACATTGGTCTTACTGGGTTATTTGATCAAGAACATATAAAGTACTTGTATTTTTTTTTCTTTAAAGCTTCACACTCTTTCATGTATATACCAATTCAAAAGTTTATGATAGCTTCCCATTCTTATTTTATGAGAACATTGACCTGTAATTTTGTTGATACTGAACTGAATTTGGAACAAATGAAGGTTTGTTGTTGATCTAAGTTTGTGGTGAATTTCAATTCTTTTGTCTTTCTTTTTAATAATGCTACTTGTCAAGCTTATGATTGAGTATATAATTAAAGAAACATGAATGCATGCTTTGCAGCAGTTAATATCTTCCTCTCCTTTCAGCACGTCTTATCTTAGTGAGGATGAGGGGTGTTTGAACTGTCAATTTGATTTTCTTTCATGCAGGTTGACCTTGAGCCAGGCCTTGCAATTGATTTCAACATTAAAGATATCCTCCTGATTTCATTTTACCTTTCTGCTGGATCTAATATTTCGGTTTCCAATAAGTAAAACTCGATGTGCTTCTAGATCATATTGGCTGTATATTCTTCTGGATCTGACCTTTACTTTCTTTTCATTGAAGAAATTCTTTTGTGATGATACAGTAAGACAACTTTTATTCTAAATTAATGTCCTTTTGTAGTGGTTTCATGGATAAGATTTTTGCTAATATGGATGGAAATGGATTAAATAGAAAGCGTGGCCTGTTTCTGAAAATTGATGAGATTTTGCACAATTTTATAGAACCAATGAGATTAATTTCCTAGTATTATATACTTGAATTAAAAGAAAAAAGATATTTTAATGTGGATACTGTACAAATTTATTCTCCATCTTTCTGTTGGACTTAGCGTTCTCACAGATCCCTAAAAAGTAAATTGGGAGGAACTTATAACCCGAGGCTCAGAGCAGTGGGAGTGGCAGATGACTGTATCTAAGCTCTTTGATGAACGACCTATATGGCCCAAGGAATCTGTGACTGAGCGCTTGCTTGAAAAAGGTCTAAAATTTAGCCATTTGATGCTTAAAAGGTCTTGCCTGAAAACTTACCCTCCTATTTATTAACAATTCTTTCTTGGAACTGTTGAATTCACTTTGATGAATCTTATCTTTCTCCATCCTTTAAGGCTTCTACTTGGGGTTGCTTACTACTTTTCAAATGGGCCATTTCTGAGGTTCTGGATAAAAAAAGGATATGATCCTCGCAAAGATCCTGATTCTCGCATGTAAGACTTCTTCTGGCATTAATCTCCTTTAAACATATGTTATGCTTTAATGGCTTCCATTATGTGGTTTGTAGGATGCTTACTTTGCATTTTCATTTTACCAGATATCAGAGAACTGAATTTCGTGTACCTGAACCATTGAGGAGTTATGCAGATGCCAATGCAGCTAACAAGTAAGTTGATACCAATGTATTTAGATATGGTGAGATTTGAGTATCTAACAGTTCTGTTTTTATGAAATCCTGTTCGGTATAGAGTATAAGGGAATTTTATGCCGAATTTATAACACAATATACTGTAATAAGATGAAAATCTATGCTCATCAAATTTAATACTTAACACTGACATGAGTCACATGACATTACATTCCATCTGAAATACTTGTGCTTAGCTTTTACAGTTTGTTTCAAGATTATTTCTTTGAATAATTTTTTATTACACAGATTGAAGCATAAGTGGAGAGATTTATGTTCATTCCAAGTATTTCCTTACAAATGCCAGACATTTTTACAGCTATTTGAACTTGATGATGATTACATTCAACAAGAGATAAGAAAGCCTCCAAAGCTAGCAACATGCAATGTGAGTCTATTAACTTCAGTGTTATGCACAGATGTGTTGGTTAATTTATCTTTGATGTCATCCCAGGGATTTTTTTCTTCCCTTTTTCATTATCTTTTTCCCTAGGGATGAATGTCCGTAGAATGGGGGTTATAAGAGTCTTAGTTTATTTAATTTGTTTTTGGGGTGATATCCTCACGCATTTCTTGCATACAAGTCAACAAATGCTTAGTTTTGCAATTTTAGACAAAACATGTCAAAGTTTATTTGATGTCAGATACTTTGCAGTCTAAAACAGGATGGTTCTCAGAGTGTCTGCTTGATTGCCTGAGACTTCGTGTAGCAGTGAGGTTCTTGTCAGTATATCCCGAAACTGGTGCGGATAGCATACTGAAATCTTACTCTGATGAATTTGAGAAGCTAAAGAGGTCATGCATTTACAAGGATGTCTTCAACCCTCATCAAGAGGAGCACCAGCAAACTGATAAAGGTTCAAATAAACTGCCTTTTTTCTAAGTTATCGATGTCTCATCTTTTCTTAGTCTCTTAATTATCCATTAGCTTTGGGTAACGAATGCCCAAAGGGCACTCTTTAAGGTTAGTTAAGATACTGTTTGTAGTGATATTTTTGTATTAGATGCTATAGTTAAAACTTAATGTAATAATTTCGATGCATTGGGAAAAGATATTCACTTAATAGGTAATCTTAGCAAAATCCTTATTTGTTTAGTGGTTCATTTGACTGCCATAATTTCCATATTGCGGTCACTAATATTACAGATAATCTAGCATACTTAATCTAGGAAAACAATTTTGAAACTATTGTTATTGAATGTGATTTTCTTATATTTGTGTAACTCTATATTGATGACATATGCATCTTTTTTCTTGAATCTATTTATTTGCCACGATCCTCCTTTCTTGCTGCAAATTTTTGGTTTTCCATGTTACAACTAAACTTCTCCCTGGCCACCTTTCAACCAAAACTAGATTGGGATACTTCATATATCAGATTGGTTTTAATAACTGCTTTAGACTAATCATATAAGTTTCAAAATACTAGCTTAACATGTGGAGCTTATAGGGGATGAAGAGAAAGAGAGGCCGAAAAGTTCTGATAACGAGGATGATGAAATTGAAGCTGATGATGAAGAGGAATTGGATTTGTATGAGACACTTAATCTGGTAAATCATTTGTTTGTTCTTTGTTCTAGTTTTAACATTCTTGTTAACACTCAGCAGATCATGATATTACTGTATATTTGTCTTATTTCATTCTTTTTTCTCAGAGGAAAAAACCTAAAAGGAACTTTATTGATGTACTTCTTTTTTCTGTAGGGTGATGAGGATGATGAAATCCCTCTGCAACCTGATACATGTATCCTTGAGTGCTAGTCTGTGCTTTTGTTCAAAGCCTGTGTCTTTGAAATAGCCTTCAGTCAGGCTTTCAAGAATGTGTAGGAAAAGCTTCAAAGGGCATTTTCTTTCTACTAAGTTAATTTAAGTGGGTCTTAGACTGTAGGTTTAAAGATTTGTAATCATTTGTTTTTATACAAGTAGATTGTTTATTTTATACAAGTTAATGAAGGCTGCTGGAAAGCATAAAAACCAGTCTAGTCTACCAAAATTGATAATAAGACCTAGGAAAGAAACTTTTGACTTGAAATCAGTGCTTCTTTTTGCAATATTAAACTACCATTAGGCTATTACCTTTGCACACAAGAGTGAGCCAGCTTTGATACAAGTTTATAGGATCAAGTAAGCTCTTTATGTTAAAATTGGTTCTCATGTGATAGCTCTAAGGATGAAAAAGTGATTGCAAATCTTTTAAGCCAAACTTCTGTCACTACACAGACTAATTGAGACCTCTTGTAAAAGTTCTAGGAATGTATTTAGCATATTCATACTTGTTGGTCTAGACAAGTTTTTTTGTTGTAGGATGTGACTCATTTCTAATAAAGCATTCTTGACTTTATAAGTATTATAGGCCTTCAGTTTTAACCTCAAAGCATCTTAGCTATCATACATACATAGATGTACAGACACAGAGAAGTGTGCTAACAAGTACATACAAAAATGTCTGTATGGTATTTAGATTGTCCCTTTCTGGATGTTCCTAGTCTACTTGAGATTTCCTATATATTGCTTAAATATAGATACGCAGAACAACTCAAGGACATATTTGCAAGAGCTTTTTGGTAGCTTTCCATCTACTGTACCTGATGCTGACACAAGTGAAGAAGAATATCAAATATATGAGCAGTTTAGTGATAATAACTATTCTGATGATGATGATGATGATGATGATGACAGCTGACATTCTTAACCCAGAAGTTTACAGGTAGTTTTCCCTCCCTTTCATTTGCTTCCTTTTACTCATTCTACAGGCTCCAGTCACAGCAAAATATCATCATAAATATGATTAAATTAGCTTATTCAAATTATGCAAGACTTCTAATGGAATGTTTTGTGATGTGATTCATTGGTTATACGTTATAGCTAGTTTTGTTGATCATCATGTGCACGCACTGGCTGGTTCAACTGCAATCTTTCTAATATTTCTTTCCTAATCCTACTAATTTGCAATTTACTTCTTATCAACGAGTGCATTGGTTTCAAGTCCATTGCAGGATGCTCTGATGCAATCACTATAATTTCATAGAGCCATCTTTTTATTCTCCTTGCCTTCCCTACATCTTTATCATTAGCTAAATTTTTTATAAAACAACTCAAACTAGTTACAGACTTTGTGTTTGTGATCTCAAATGCATTACTTTCTGAAGTTCTTAAAACTTGTACATAATTAATACTTCTCTGAAATATATATATATATATATATATATATATATATAGAGAGAGAGAGAGAGAGAGAGAGAGAGAGAGTTCAAAATGGAACCTAGCCAATCGTAGCATCACATTTTATAATTTCTTCTTTCATATTTTATGGTATCTGTATTTTTTCTAGAATAAAGGGACATATACCTTGCCGTGCAGTTTATTGGTTGAGCTTTTCGAAGGCAACATGTCTGTTTGCAGATAACTTTTCTATAAATTTTCAGTTTGAAGCTACAACATGTGGCAGTGCGGGTTGCAGTTAGTCTTGCAAGCTGTAGAGAAGGGTGACTAGATATCTGCATATTCTATTTGCCGTTTTAGTTTACATTTCAACTCAAATTATGAATTATCAGGTAAACTTTTATAAGGTTTAATGAATCAGTAATCTATTCCATTTGACTTCATTCACGATGTGCTATTTTATCCAACACAGCTATTATTGAATGGCAATTTTGGGATACTAGAATTTCATACCACGCTAATATAATCAGACTTTTGTGGTTTCCAGATTACCCTTTTTCTTTGGCCAAACTTGTTTGGGGTACATGAAAATACATTACGACTTGAATTTAGATTTTTACCGAGATTTCACCCCATAAGTCGCCATAATTCAAAACTTGTTTCTGGATTGTATTCTATCAAGTTTTTTTGGGTATTTTTGGTATTTGAAATTGTCGGAGTTTGATTTTTATTACTACAATTAAAAGTTTAATATTCTGTTAACAAATCACATAATCATTGGTTGTGTTTTATCAATTTGGAGCTGCATTAAGATTCACTTTGACCGGCACAATAATATAATTTTGTACTCTGTCGATTAGCTGCTTGCTATCATGCAATGCAAAGGCAAATGATTTTGGAACATAACAGATCCTCACGACAGTTTTTATCATTGCAATTTACAGACTAATGTTAGTGAATTGTACTTTTACTGTTAAGGTTACAGCAGGAAAAACACGTGATCTTGAAACTATTTAATATTTATGCATTTATTCTGTAAGTGCAAATCAGCTTAATAATTTGTTAAAGCCAATTAAACCACCTTTTGCGTGTTAGATGCTGAAACAGCAAGCTGATGGCCGGCGGCCGAAATAGAAAAGCGATGGAACCAGCAAAGTGGTGTTGCTTTCTGTTGCCGTTGCTGAATTGGTTTTTTCGTTATTCTTTTGTCAAGTATTAAAGAATTTTAGATACTCGATTCAACAATTTCACAACTGACGTGGTTTGAAGCAGAAACCAGCCATTTGACAACTTTTCCTTCCTCATAAAATCAAAGGAGGCAATGATTGAATTCCTAAGAACAAGAGGAGATTTTAATTCGACTCTTCCAGTAAGAAGTTCATGTATTTACCATCAAGTCAAACACACATTCCATCAATTCCAATGAGCGATTTCATCTCACTTCATGGCTACTCCTCAGCCTTCCAAATTCATTATGTCCCCAGAGGCAAGAGGGACATCGACCAATTCATAGTAAAACAAATTGTTTTAAGAATAACTTTATCAACCAACTGATGTCATTTTATAGCGATTAGCATCGGTTACAAAGTGTTCTAAACTAAGCCATTATAAAGAGGGAATGTATGAGAAACAAGAAACGGCTGTCCCGTGCATGGGACTACAATATATCCCACCTCTTTTTAACACGGAACATTAACATTGATGACTTAATGTCATCCTGTGGTACCTGGAGCATGAACTGGACCTTCATCTTCATTGGGGCTGTCTTTGCCTTTCCGTTTTCATCTCCAACCTGAAACGAGGATGTTAAGAGTTACCAAGCCATGCAAACACCAAACTCTTCGATATGAGAATCTCAAGCAAACAATGTGTGCCTTGCCTTCAAGGACAACAAAGTTAAGCAAATAGAAAACTTACCCATAGAGAAGCCCAGCCAAGACGAACCTCTGAATCATAGCCAGCTTTGAATTTGTAGTCTTTGTCATATGTGTGCTTGTACACAGCACTCCAATAGTTTGAATCAAAATTGTACCAGTAGCTGCAGATAAATACAAAAACTATTCATAAAAAACATTTCAACAAAAATAGATATTGTAGGAAAAAGAACTCTCTATACCTCATGTACTAAATATGTTCCCACATATATCTCAAGCAAACCAAAAGAATCGGCATGTTTCATGACACAAAAACAGGGAGTTCTAACCTCAATTTATCAGATGGACTGAAACGCCGCTTGAATGCAAATGATAAGGCATTTGATGGCAGTGAAACGCTAGGAATAAATGACATTGCCCCATCCTGCAATTTGAAACCATCAAAATCATCAGGAAGCACTCTAAAAGCTGGAAATTTTGCACATCCATAATGTTTCCAACCTGCATTTTCCTTTGAAGAAGGTGATCAGTCACCTAGTAAAATTTTGAACACCTAGCCATCTAAGTGATTCAACAAGAAATATAACAGGGGATCTCCCATAGAAACCAAAGTACCCAATCAATCAATGACTAAATAAACAAAACACAAGCAGACAGTTAGGACACTAAGGAAAAAACCACCTTATATGAGTATCTTAGTTTCAGTTCTTCATCCATGTAATAAGCAGAACAAACCCCATTCCAAATTGGACTTTTAAGAATTCCATTTATTGAAAATGTTCTTGGAACTTCTTCCTCTTCTCTCTCCTCTAATGTAACTTCACCCATGGGGAATCTAATTGTTGCTTTAGGCTGCAGCAACGGGAAAGTAACAGAGGTAATTACAGTGAAAAAATGCTATGACCATGTTTAAATATAATAAAGTGGAAATAAGCACAGTGGAGGGCTGATAATGCATAAGCATAAAAATGCAAAAGCACTACCATTAATCAAGTGTTGAAGTGATGCAAAAGGAGGCATGGTATTGGTTGACTAATACATACAGAGAATAACAACAATACGATGCCACATACATTCTGCAATTCAGAACCAAAAAACCAGGCTGAAAGTGAATTACCAAATGCTTTTTCAAATTTATTAATGCTCTGATAAATATCCAGAAGGACTAAATAGATAATTAGCAGAAAAAATAAAAGTAGAGAAAAACAGCTTAAAGTGCTACCATGCTATCAAGTATCACCTGGGAACAGTCAGGTCCCTAAATGTCCTGAACTTGATGCTAAGTGATTGATTTTCACTAGTAAGATACTAGGATAAATAGTACTCACCAAACCAACATATGGAACAGGTGATGACACTTCGACAGCATAGCTGGTATCAGCGGAGTTTGCAATCATTGCCACCTCACCTTGTTGTGCCTGAGAAAAATATATGAGATATTAAAGGGACAACATATGTGGCTTGAAGGAAATATTCATTGAGCACTCAAACAACACTTGTGATAGTTTTGGCTTCAGAAGCAATAATAGATTTCCGATTCCCAAAAGTATCTGATTTCAAGAATAAGAGGTTTTTAAGACAAAGGATGTTCAAAAAAAGTCTTCAAGACTCAAGTAACAAGACCAACTTGACCATTATAAAGCAGAGTCCTGTGAAAACCAATCATCAATTTCATGAACACTTGCACCTCAAATGCTCATCACCAAAAACAGAACCCGATTCCCAGAGTTCTCTTTTGTAGCATAAGAAGAGAAATTGCACTTCCTTTGAAAATCTGCATCGTAATTACTGTCACCAAACAATAATCAACTCTCAAATCTCCCATGCACAGCACTAAATGGGTAAATAAGGAGGGTCACATAATAGTCCCAATTCCCATGCTTTCAAGTTTATATATTTTCATTAACATTAGCAACTGAAGCACTACACTAGGCAGAAAAGATGTCTTTAAAGGAAAAAAGGCAAACCTTGACATCATGGGTAGCTTTAAAATGCAGCATAGGACCCACATCGAAGGAGCTCTTGATGAGGGCATTTTGTTCTTCAGGATCGTAGTGGATGGACAAGTGCTTTGAAGTTAAAGCCAATTGGGGCTCCGAGATCTCGCGTTTGCTTTTGTTGAGGAAGGAGAATTTGAGCTTGGCAAGGTTGTCAAACAGCTTACACGACACCCTGTGAAAGAATATGCGGCTTTCACTGTCAAACTCTGAAGTCACACTGACGGAGGGTCTTTTGGATATCAAAGACAGAAACTGGTTAGGCTTGGTGGGTGTTGGAGATGGTGGTGGTGGTTCTAATGGCAGCGGAGGCGGCGGTGACGGCGACGGCAAATATGGTGGTGACAGTGAGATTGGTTGGATTAGGTAATTGGGGCTTTGAGGAGATGGTTCCATCATCGCAAATTTTGGTTTGGTTGGTCCGTAATTCAAGCGGTATCTTGTATTGAAAGGCTTAAAACTCTGGCCTTTGCTTATGTGATCCGAGGCTTATTCTTGAAAGCTATGCTTTTGCTTTTGTTTGAGATACAGAGAGAGTGACTGCTTTTGGATTGCTGTGGGCCCGTTATTATAAGGCCGAAATTTTGATGAAAAAATTTTTGGAAATTTCTGAATTTTGATTCCCAATTTTCCCAAACACAAATGGCCCTCTTCCCAACTCCTTGAGAAACGAAATTTTGAGCTACTTGTTGCTTGCGATGGTAGGTTAGCAGCTAATATACGTGTACTCTGCGGAAAACAAAGTCAACGTGACTTTGTTAGTATAATATTTAATGCAATAATTAATAGTTAATGTCATTGAAAAGTATTTTTTTAATATAATAATCTTAAAGAGTAGTTCAAAAACATTTGTTAGTAAAATTTATTTGAATAACAATAGAATTCCTCCATAATAGATCCCTAAAAACACATTTGGTAAGTAAAATGTTAAAATCAAGATCAAGCAGGAAAAGAAGTTAAACCCTACAAATATATAAAAGGATAATCTATTATTGACGAAAAACTTCTGTAAAGTGACTCATTATCGACGAATTTTGAATTTTTGTCGAAAATTGTGGACAAAGGTTTTTGTCATTTCCGAAAGAATTTCGGAAGGTAAATTAGAAGTTACAGATTTTACTGGTGAAACTTGAAACGATACCTTAAAAATGCAAAGGATTTTAGTGTTAGATGAAGCTGATATTTTTTGGATGTTTTCCAATGGATTTATAATTATATTAGCATGCATGAGTCCAAGATGATCAAGATATAAAAAAAAAAAATTAAAGCAAAAATTATGCATTGACTCGGCCTCCGCAGTCCATTGTGCATCAGATTACCACAGAATGTTGGAAGACAAGTTTCGGTATTGAAAGAGTTACCATTGCTCTTAGTCATCATATATTCATACATAGGCATCTCCTTCCATGAAGATTGAGGACAAAACCCTAACTTTTCAACCCCAGAAAAAATTTAAAACGGAAGAAGGAAAAACCAAGAAAATACCTTAACGGAAACGGTAGCGAAGGTAGAATGCCTATGAACACCTAAAAATTGGAAAATAAAAAATTTTCAAAGACGATAAATCCGTCGTCAATTTATATATATATATATATATATATATATATATATTATAAACGAATATTTCAGAAAAAAATTTTGAATCCATCGCTGCTTGTCAGATTTGTAGTGGAAAAGTAGCTAGACATTTTTTTTTATATGGGGATCATATAATATATGAACCCAATCATAATGAACTTGAAGAGATCCAAAGATATATTGAATGAACGAAGTTTCTGCTAGCTGGAAGACGACATTCACAAAACAGATCAAGGGAAGTTATATATATATATATATATATATATATATATATGTATTTACATATATTGTTTCCTCCCTCTATGTGCAGTATGAAATTAAGTTATTAATTTTATAACAGCAAAACATGAGTAAATGCAAAAAGCACCTGAAACAGGTGAAGAAAAGGGGGAACAGAAGGTGAAATTTATACAGGCGATAAGAGAAACTTCACAGTTACCATGATTTTGCAGCAGACTACTTTCCCAAGCTTAATCATTTTCTTCTTTCTTCATCAAAACAAAACATACAAAAGAAGCATACAAGAGTGATATTGATTCGGCTCATCACATTGAAGCTTCTGATCATGGATATTACTGAGAAGAAGACGAGCCGAACCAATATCACGCCATGTCTACTCCTCCAGGAATATATTATATATAGATTTGCTCGATTCCATGACATGAACTCCGCCGGCTTCCCCCTATTTATATTAGGATTAATGGATGGTTTTTAAGTCCCTTCACTGTTGATGGCTCCTTCAAACCAAGGACCAAAGATAATTAGGAAACAATAAGCATATGGAACATTTATCATGATTAAGATTCATGAATAGTGGAGGTCTTTTCTTTCCCTTTTTAGTCTTCTAGGCACGTGTATTTGTACGAGAATAGTATGCGTAGCCATTGATGTCGTAAAAATGCACATGTCGTGGCGTACTGGTCATTGAGCCAATCACCAACAGGAAAAAGCATGGGCCAGTGATGATTAAATGATTATCTGCAATTTCGAAATATAATACCAATGTCGGTATTTATTTTTAATTGATAGCAAATTATCTTCTTCTAGTTGCACATATGGTTGATTCTCAAAGTTGGAAAGTTGATTGGACAATTAGAATTTATAAAAGCTGAAGGTCCCCCCCACTTTTGTTGCTTTCAATTTGGTTCAAATATTAATTGGAAGCCATTAACAGAAAAGACACATAAAGTTGAGGATAGGATTAATTTGTTATGATTTTATGAACAGCTTCTTGTCTAGGAAAAACTACATTCCCCTCTTTCTAGGTTCGGTCTCGACCGCTTCGAGGATATATAGGTTAGTTATTACAAATTTTTCTACAGCTGTGTTTAATCTAAACAACACATATCTTGATAGAATTTCATGTGCTTGGTTTTTTATGAAAGAAGCAATATGAAAATATTAAAAAATTTATAAACTATAAGATTTAAATTTAAAATTTTTTAAACAATAATTTTTTAAAAATAATTATATAAATTAATTGAATTAAATTTTAAATTTGATTTTTTTTATAAGAGATTATTAATAATCAAATCTATGAGATACCTGAAATTTACACCTTGCAATTTTAAAGGGGAGGAAATCTTAGCCACAGAATCTTTCCCTTAAAATACAAGAAACACCGGCTTATCCCAGCTTTTGAAATTCAAAAGGTTCCTCTTTCTCTAACTAGTTTGGCTTTTCCTAATTGAGCAAGGAGTCCAATGAAAGAACAATGCCAATGCCAATGTGATTATACGAGAGGTTCGTCGTAAAAGGAGGAGCGCATTAATCTAATAAACAAATAATTTTTTTTCCGGTCATGTCTTAGATTATGGAAAGATATGAGGAATAAGAGGAAGGACTTGATCATGTGGTTTTTGAAGCACGTGTTAGCATATTAATTATTCTCGTTACTCTTGTATTGACAGATAAGCAACATATGGGCAGGCCAAGCTTCAACCATTAAAACATAGAAAATAGGATAAAATTCGCATAAAGTTTTTTATATGAAGTTTATGAAATTTTTTATTAAAAATAAATAAATTTTAATAAAAATTTTAAATTAATATAAAAATTATTAAAAATATTAGTTATTATTTAAATTTAATTTAAATTTATTTAATTATAAAAATTTTATAAATAATTTTATTAAAAATATCTATTTAATATTAAAATTTTTTAAAAATTTATATATTTGATATATATAATAAAATTTTTATTTATTCATATCGAATAATAAATTTCATCAACTTTATTTATGAAACTTCACATAAATTTTTTCTCGAAAACATGAAGAAGAAGAAGACGAAGAAGAAGGAGGAGCCAAATGGCAAAAAGGAATAAAATTTTGATGCCTCAGTTCTCCGTACAAAAGTCAACAGGGAAAGTTGATGCAGAGATCCGCCACCGATCTGTCATTGTCATTGGTGTGTTTCTAAATGTACGTACAATTTGAACAGCAAAGATTTGGCTTTCATTTGTTGGTAACGGTGGATTTAAAACGTAAGTTGGAATTAGGGAAGGTAAAAACACTCGAATTCGTCGGGTTTTGATCCGATCCGATAATTTATGGTTGATTTTTTTTTTTTTTTAAATCGGGTATCGATTCGGATCGAAATCGGGTAGAGTAAAAAATTTTCGGAGTCGGGTTGGGGTCGGGTTTTAGGCAAACCCGACCCGATATATATAATTTATTTTTTTTAATTTTATATTTAATTATATATATTTTTTATATATATTTAATTTTATATTTATATTTAAAATAATATTTTATTAATTTCAAGTTGGGTCGGATCAGATTTAATTTTATATAATGTCGGATCGGGTTCGGATATTAAAAATAAAAAAATTATCGGATCGGGTACGGTTTCGGGTATTACATATTTAAAATCGGGGTCGAGTTCGGGGCGAGCAAAAATCCGTTTCGTCCCGACCCATTGCCATCACTAGTTGGAATAAGATTCAATGATAGAACAAGTTTGTCCTTGTTAAATTGTTATAGTAATTAGTTTAGTTAGGTAAATAGTTAGGCAAATAGTTAGGTAAAATTCACCATCGATCTCACTTCGTGCAGTAGTGGTTTGTATAGTACTAATTGATATAAATAAGTTGATGTAAAAGAAAAAAAAAAAGAAGAAAATGAATGACAAGTGGTCCCTTTTATTCACTAAGTTTCTATTTTGGCTTGTTTGATACATAGTTCATACCATATATATTCATATTCTAGACCATGGTTAACATCTATCTATATATGTTACATGAGTTCCGGGGAGGGTACATGTCGTAAATACATTAAGTTTTTGATAATTTTTATATTAATTAATTTTGAGAATCAAATATCATTTTTATATGAAGGGTGAAATATTTTTATTTATTATATTTACTTTCGAATTATTATATGTATGTCTTCATTTATAAAATATTGTTTAATTAATTTAATAAATAATAATTAAAAAGGCCATGAAAATGAAATTTTAATTAACTAAATTGGATAATTTTAAGTATCTTTTGCAGGCTTGTAGCCCACTTAGCGTAAGCAGCCGGCCTATATTGGAAAAATGACCTCCCGTAGCCCATTTAGCAGACGCCGCCCGATATGACCAGCAGCCATCGAGTCGAACCCATTTTTAGAACCATTAAATTAAAGGACAATGTTCGGTTAGATCCAGTCAAGATGGGTTAGCATATCGACACCGATAATTTATTTTCTTTATTATTATTATTTTTTGGGTTAGACAATTAGATTCCTTTGATGTATCTGCTTTTCTTTTGATGTATTACTGTTGAACTATTCAAGTTCTAGATGAGATCTTTGCTCCATTTCCTAAATTTGTGTTGAATTATACCCACTTTCATTTTTCCCTTTTTGTTGTATTATATTTCAGTTTTCTTCTTGTCTGTTCCCCGTGGAATTATTGCTCTGATGGTGTCAGTTACTGAATTTCTTCCTTTTTATTGTCATTCTAAATTTCATTTTTAAACGTATTACTATTATTTATTTCTATCGTAAATGTGAAGTGGGTTTCTTCAATTCCACTCTTCATTCCATTCATATCCTGTATTCTGGATCAACCGACGTGAGTTCTGGTTTACTGTTGTTAAACCCCGTTTCAAATTTACTGTCCTGCTTTTGCTATTTAGAGAAGATTTATCATGATACTTGTATTCTCTGCTTAATTCATCTGCATACTGAAAATGGAACTATGAATGCGTAATACATATATATATATACACACACACGTATGAATAAGAAAGAGGTTAAATGTTGCAATTTGGTATTGTAAAGTTTGCAGCAAATGGAAGGTGTTGACGTCGGATAACATTATGATCTAAAAAAAAAAAGGATATTTCTTCCATTCTAAAATATTTCTTCTTTGGCTATCAGAACTCACGTCAAGGTCAAGGGTATTTGGGTTCAAGGAGACAAAAGGAAAGGCTGAAAGATCATGCTCGAAGTTCCAAACTAGAGTTGAGGGTCCGAGAATCTATGAACCCTGTTGAGGGATTCTTGACAAAATCATTTTTCTTTTTTTATTTGGGGACTTTGGAAGCTGCTTCTGCAGATGCCAAATGTTGTAGGATGCTATGAACATCGTCAAGGTCAAGGTCAAGGGTGTCGTTGGAAAAATATTTCTTTGTATACTATCTGTTTATTGCGAGTAACAATATGGAAAACAAATTAGTATTGCAAAAATAATACCTATATCATAACAAGAATTTAAAATCATTTTTTAATATTTTCAGTCTGAAATAATAGATGTAAAAAGGTATGTTTATTTGTTCATTTTGATCAACAACCAATCATCTAACACATTAAACGGATCAACCGTCCGCCAATAATGCCTCAAAGAACTAATAATTTCGGTATCAGAGGAGATAAAAAGGGCACAATCTTTCATTGCAGAGGCATTATTATGGTGACAGATCCTATAGAGCAGCATAAAATTGGTGCAATTTCACTAAAAGTGGAAAATGTGAAACAAATTATATAATACTATCAGAATTTAAAAAGATGGATATTTGCTTTCCTACTTTTAACAGATGAAAAAGATTAATCTACTGACAGCCCAAAACAATCATGAAAACTCCACTGATCTACAGCCCACATCTTCTTTAATTACTGGGCACACCACTATTTTCTTATACATTGTAAGTAACCTGTGCTATAAAATCAAAATGCTGCCAACAGTATAAGGAATGAGTTACGTTTATGTTTTCAACCTGCCAAGAATCCTATGTGGTCTCTATAGGCCTAACATCACTCAATCATTTAGTGGCTCTGCCTCAGTGTCCCTTTCCTTCATTGCTGTCCAATTTTCTATCTCTGAAAGAAAAACCACCAAAAAGTTGAGAACAGAAAAACCTGACATGCGTAGAATCAAGAATTGCAACTAATATTGACTGAAAGAGCAAAACTGTGATATAAGGTTGCACATACTTGGCTTGTCTGAAATTGCCATCAGCCGTCTTTGCAAGATAGATGCCACGAAGAGGAAAATTGAGCACATACCAAACATAACAGGGATGGGAAATGCATCAACCTTGGGAGGCAAAACCAATATTAGCTAGTTAGTAACAAAGTTAAAGCCTCAAGGGTCTGCCAGCATATATGCATCTATAGCGCATGATCAAATGAATTTATTATAGAAAAGCCTATAACATACATTGTACAGCACAACGCAGACAAATATATTGAGAGGAATGCGGAAAAAATTCATAATAGTGCTTCTAGCCTCCTCCGGGATGTATTGGGATCTCATTTTCATAATGGACGGCCAGAATATCCCTACACAAGCCTCAAAAGTACAGAAGCCAAGAAGCTGGAGGCAACCTGCAAATGAGATGCTTCCACCTTTCACTTTAGAAGGTGCTACCGAGAACTGTTGCAAATTCATCCATTTAGGAATCACTTAAAAGAATAAACCAGAGAGAGAGAGAGAGAGAGAAAGAGAGAGAGAGAGAGATATTGGGACATACATTGGTTATAATGGGAAGCAGGAGAGAGGCAGAGGAAATCACAAAAACAATCTGCATGTAACTTTCTACCCTGAGTGTTGTGCGAGCCATCAATCGAGATGCAAGGGAGCTTCCCAACATTGAAGCCAACATGAAAGTGGCAAAAATAAAACCATGAGGGATCTCCTCGTCATTGGGGCTCAAAGAAGGAGTCCAAAGGAACACAAACGTGTACATTGAACCTTCAAACAGAGACTGGATGGCACCCAGCAAAGCAATTTTTTCATCTGAAGTGCACAGAAGATTAGACTAAGGAGGTGAACAAAAAGGAAACAAAGGAAAGCATCAATGCATGATAGAGGATGACTGACAACAAGTAACAAGGCATCGAGAAACAGTACTGGCCTGCACCATGTCAACCTGATAAATGCATTGAGTTTAAAGTAAATATTGAACTCTACCAGAAGCTATGGCTACAGCAGCACCCCTGAACTGGGTAAGCAGATCCTTATTGTCTGAGGGGTCTCCAAAATTTTCAGTCCATGATGATAAAATAATGGCCATCCCAATAGCAAGAAAGCATGCAGCAGCGTCAAAAGGAGCCACTGGTCCAAGAGAAAACGAATCAACCAGTAGGTTCCCAAACAACCCAGACAAAATGGCAACAAGACCATTGCCAAGAAATATTGCCTTTGAAAATGTCAGTGACAACCATTGTTGCTCAAAGCCCCTCTGCAAAGATTAGAAGCAGAAACAGAATTGTCAGCACACGATTAAATTTTAAAGAGATATCAACATCAATTGCAACAGACAAAGTTCATAGAAGAGAGTGGCTAAGAAGAGCTAGATGATCATGGCTTACCATCTTTGAAAAGAATGGTGAAGAATTCATGAAACAAAGTTAGCATATACCTATGCATTATGTGAAATTTGACAGATGTAAATAAAATATATTGACTGAATTTTTTTTCAAAATAGGGCAGGGTGGGAAAGAACCTGAAAGTGAGCAACATACAGCATCTAGAATACTAAAAATAAGAGTAATGAGGACAGAAGCAAACACATCAATAATGTAAATTGTATTGTCTGAAATTCATTAAGATTAAAGGGCACAGAAGCAAACACATCAATAATGTAAATTGTATTGTCTGATATTCATTAAGATTAAAGGGCACAGAAGCAATGCCTCACCTTATTATGTTCAGCAACAAGCCATGACTCAAATGCTGAAAAGAGAAGAGAGGTGGCTATACCTCCCAAAACACGACCTATCATCAAAACTTTGTATTCAGGAGAATGCTTGGTGATGCAGCTAAGTATGTAAGTTATGCAGTAAGTAACACATGCCCTTCTCCGGCCCCTGAATTAAAGACATGAAGGTATTTTTGTATTAAGACAAGATATTTCATCCATAAAGTACAAAAAGATCACAACAGAAGCCAAAGTAAAAACTTACTGTTTGTCAGCTAGAGATCCAACAATTGTCCCAAACAACATTGAGGATCCAAAGCCAGCAATAAAAAGCTGTCCAATCTCCCCTTTTCCAAAGCCATATGTACTGTAAAGATAGTAAACATATGGACCCTGCAGCCAGTCTCCAGCTATTGACAAATAAACAACCATTTATCAAAACAGTAAGATAGACATATGCCCAATAACCACAATATAAGAAGGTCAACTTTCACAATTACCAGAACAGATATCTACAGTTAAAGATCATACCTCCAAAACTAATTAGAGTCAGAAGGCAACTATATAGGAAAATTTTCATTTAAAAAAAAGATCTCGAGCCATAAGTAGTAATATGTTTATGATGCATTTCAATAAGATCATGAATTACATGAATCAAGCAACATTGTTATTAAAGACTTGTATCAAGAGCTAGATTAACCACAAATTTTGATACGATAAGTTAAACTCGTGACCAGTGACATTTCAGACTGTTAATCCCAGATAGTCACTTAGAAAGTACCATCCCTCCGATTGCCAAGAAACTTAAAGAAGTTAATGCAACATTGTTTTGCTTTCAGCTAGTTTTACTAGATAAGGAAAAACATCTTAACTGGGGCTGGCCAAGCAGTGGTACTAAACGCAGCAAGAAATGGACATCTACTCTAGGCTTCAACAACAAAGGACAACTTGATCCTCAAAGTTTAGATTGTTTCTTTACACAAACCATCATCAACCAGACAGAACCATAAAACAAAGCAATAGCAACCTATCTCCAACCCACAAAAAAACCCAGATTCAATGCCTAAACCATAAAAAAGAAGAGGACCGAAAATCCAAGTATCACTTATTGGAAGTCATTTTCTTATGCTCTTTCTTTTAACAAATTAAAACAAATGCATGTATACCGTTTTCCATTCTCTTTTTTTGATGAGCCCGTTTTCCAAACAGTAAGCACTTTTCAAAGTAGCAACTAATAACAAAAACATTATCAACCAAAAAAAAAGCAAATCACAAAAGCACCCTAATCAAACTTTAGAAACGCAAATGAAGGGAATGGGTATCTGGATTCGCAAATAGAATCACCAGCACTAGATCGGATCCATGTTTATGTAGAACAAAAGTGAGATCTAAAGGATAGAAATGGAAATCAGATCTGAGTAAATAAAAATGAGGGGGGTTAGTTACCCATCATGAGAGAGTAAACAACAAGGTAATTGTTCTTGAAGGAATTGAAAGCAGGGGAGGTGTTGATTCGATCCTTGCTGGTCTTGCTTAGCTCTAATGCTGCCACCACCGCTCCCAATGCCCCGAAAACTACGAAGTAAAACAGCTCCATTGCTGCAACCCACTACTCACACCCACCCAAATTCTTGTTCGTGAAAGAGACGCAGAGATTTATATATTGCTGTGAAGCCAAAGCCAATGTGTCCTCTCAAGCTTTGATGGAGATTGGTTTATTTTCTGCACCTGCGTTTCAGTCCATTTCTTAGAAATGTGATTTTAATAGTTGTACCTTTGATTTACTCTAGAAAAAAAGTGGTTTGATTTCAAGATGAACAATGGGTAATAGCGTCGAGGGTATGGGAGAACTGGTGGGACGAGTAACGGAAGATGAAAACCAAGGGATGCGTTTATACAATTGGGTCATTTTATGTGAAATTTTATTTTGATTCGACACGTGGCGGGATTCGGGATCTGGGTCGTCCGATTCGAGCACTACTAAGGCGGAGGTGTCGGTGGTTCAGATGGCGAAGAGAAGGCATCGTTTTTCCTTATATTACTAAAAAGTAAAAAGGGGTAATAGTCTATTTGACCCTGAATTATTGTGTTTTTTAATACGATACTTAAATAAAAAAATTTTAATTAAATATTTAAATTATATTTTTGTGTATAAAATTATTTAATTTTTAATATTATTAAAACAATATTGATATAACATTTAAATGTTAACATGAATAAAATGTGACAATTATCTTATTTAAATGTTACAACTATATATCAATTTTAAAATATATAAAAATTAAAATATAATTTAAATTTTTATTCTTTAAAATCACATGTGACAATTATATCATTCTTTCGTGACAATTACATATCATTCACGTAATTATTCAAGTACTATATTAGTATTATTTTAATAATATTAAGCAATTGAAATAATTTAATAATACATAGAATTAAAATTTAAGTATTTGATTAAATTTTTTAATTTAAGTACTATATTAAAAAAATACAGTAATTCAAGAACCAAATTAAGTATCATCCCTACTGCAAATATATCCCGACATTTGCAATGAAAATTTAAATATATATATATATATATATAATACTCCCTCCATCTCAAATTTTTATCTTGTATTGATTTACACAAAATTTAAGAAAAAATTTTAACTTTAATGTATTTAATATTAAAATTAAATTTTTTTATGAAATTAAAATTTCATGATTTTTAATATAAAAAAATAAAAAAATTTTAAAATATAATTTTAAAATATAAAATAGTAAGAATTTTAGATGTTCAAATATATATATAATTTTGAGACAACAAAGTATTAATATAATTATGTATTTTGATAGTTGATAACAGTTAATGAATATATCAGACAAAAAATATTATATTTCATGTACTACTTTTATAGTACTATTTATTTGACAGCTCTTAAAAAAAGAGTAGAAAATTTTGGTGCGTGTTGATCCGCTAGTTTTGTTTTGAAGGTGGAAATCTGCTTGCCTCCTGGATTATTATCTTGTTTTTTGCAATCAATGAAATAGTGAAAAAAGAAAATGGAATCAGCAGTGTAGATTTGCGTTAGTGTTTTATTAATTTAATCTCAAATTTTCAAAGCATTCAAACATGGTTTTAGGGTGAAAACCACTCTATCCATTGTTTTATAGCAGGTCCCAGCCTACTCGAGCCACTGGATTTCAGCAGCCCCCTAGGGGAGTTGAAATGAAAACGACAAGGAAAAGCAAAGGCCCATGATTTTTTTTATTTTTCTTCCCTAATATGGTGAGGTCTTGGGAGATTACTGAACTGTAAACAGGATAATACCCGAAGATCATCCCAGCCAGGTGGAATATGGATGAGAGAAATCCAACTGGGAGAAACCCCTTGAAACATGAACCACAAACCTAGATTTTTCAAGAGAAAAAAATCCATAATGGCCCACTTCTAAAACAAGCATCCCAAAAATTTCTTGACACAACATAAAAAAGCCGACAATAAAAGCAGTTCAAATAACTCTATCAATCACCCAACTCCTTGAGCAACTTAAATGTGTTGAAACTTGTACAACCGATTTTTTCTGTTTGTAGATTCAGATAATGGCTGCACCTACCTCACTCACCCCAAATTCAACTCCATCCTCTTCAATATATTCGAATTTCAGGACCTCCCAGTTGACCATCTGTTCAAAAATTACTCCAGACTCCTGTTGCTTTTTGACAGTAAGATCTGGTCAAGCATCAAAGCAAAGATTGACTTACCAGAATCCAAGGGGCTTAATTATCCGATGTGCAGCAACAAAGCCTGCAAAATCACCAGGTACTATTGTTCTAACCAAACCTTGATTATAAGATGAATAGAACCTCAAGGGTTGATACTCAAAACAATTGACGTACCCTGACTTTAATTTCCTTCTCCTCTTTTGGAGGGATTAGCTGAAGAAGATTGGAAGACTAAGAGAGAACTTCTCTCGGAGAAAAGGGTATTGATCTCCCCCTCTCTTACACGTATGCATGTTTTGACGCGTGCGTGCACACCAACACACATACTCACTTTACAAACATAAAAAATTAAATCGTTTCACCCTGTTGTTTTAGGACTGCAAACAACAGCAAAATTTAAAGCTTAAACGGCATGTATCTGCACATGCATATGAACAGCCATTACTCTTAAAAGTAGTTCCCTACTGTTTAAAAAAATACATTTATTTTGCCTGCTTAGAAAGAGGATGGAAGTGAAAAGTGGGAAATTATAAAGCCCATCAATGATCATGAATGGAAAAGAAGATGAACAGAATGAGAATGTGTTGAGTTCTTCTAAGGGAAAACAAAAAAACTCATCTGTGTAGATGAGTGAACTGCCAGGATGAAAACGGCACAAACAAAAGAAGATTCCACTTCCCTAGTTCAGACCATTTGAACTAACAACAAATATTTCTTCCTTTTAGGTAAGAAGTGTGGATGCAAAGGAAGCTTTTCGCCTTCAAAAAGAGAATAACTTTGTGATTCTTGATGTACGACCTGAAGCAGAATTTAAAGAGGTTAGTCAACTCATTACAACTTTAGCAAGAAACCAGGAACCAAAGATAATCATTCATGGCAAGGGTTTCACTTCAGTATTTGTAACTTTCATGATGATAAGAACAGGCCAGTAAAGTGTTGCTAAATTTTGATGCTTTGTGATGCAGGCTCATCCACCAGGAGCTATTAATATTCAGATATATAGGCTTATAAAGGAGTGGACAGCATGGGATATTGCTAGGCGTGCTGCATTTGCATTTTTTGGCATATTTTCTGGCACAGAAGAGAACCCTGAGTTTATGCAAAGTAGAATAACATTCCCTATGTTTCTTCTATTCTCCACCACCATTTCCTACTTAGCTGATATAAAAGGGACTAAGTTTTAGTATTTAAGCAGGTGTAGAATCAAAATTTGACAAGGATGCAAAGATAATAGTGGCATGCACATCTGGGGGCACAATGAAGCCATCCCAAAATCTCCCGGAAGGTCAACAGTCAAGGTATTTACATCACTCTGATTTTATACAGTGGAAAGACATTCATAAGAGACTTATAATATGCATCATAGTCATTAAACAAGTTAGAGTATTCCATCTTTAAAATTATCAAGTGTCTAAACAGGCAAATGAATTGTGTATTTCATGCTCAAAGTGCTGGTGCAAACAAAAGTGTTCACTTTTATCGGTTCTAGTGTAAAAAATGATCTCTAAAATCACTTGACTAGAAAGCAAATACACAATTCCATTTAGAGTAAACCCATGAATATTCATTCTTAATAATATAGTTCAAATAATCAAATTTGACAGGTTGGTGCTGTGTTTAGATGACACTGTAGATAGGTTAACACTAGGAAATAAATAAATCATTCGCAAAGAACATAATAAATTGTTGATGATGCTTTTTCCTTTTGAATCAATATAAGCAATCAAAGGTATTTATTTGCCACACTTTTGTTATTAAATCTGTAATTGCCCAACTGGAAGATACAAATGCTTGATTTCTGAATCCTTGCAGATCACTCATAGCAGCCTACTTGCTCGTGCTCAATGGTTACAAAAACGTTTTCCACTTGGAAGGGGGCCTTTACACATGGTTCAAAGAAGGACTGCCATCAGAATCTGAAGAGTGATATAACAATGATTACATGGTGCTTCAATAGAAGCTCAAATTTTGTCCTCATTTTTTGAGACTGGTTCTACCCTTTTCCTTTTAGGTTTTGAATGTGATTTCTTTTAGACATTTTAATCATACTTAGAATCTTATATCACCTAATGTTCTATGTACAACTTTATTTCTAATAATTTTTCAATGTGAAAATTTGAGTGTATTTGTAATAATACTAAGAATTTGTAACCAATAGCAACAAGCAAATCATCAGATCTGACACTGATCCTCTGGGACCTATCAATAACCACAGACTACCAGTTCATACGACTTCTAATTTGACACAATTATTGGAGCAGCTAAACTGTCCATGATAGAAAAACAACTATCACGCATTTCATAGCACCAAAATACACATAATTTAGGGCATCCTATGTTTCAAGTATTTTCTTCCAATCTATGAAGACAATTTTCTAGTAAGCTTTCAAACCGGATTACTAATTAACTTTTTCCTTTCAAATGCTCTAAAAATAAAATGAAGTAATTAAAATAATTAATTTACAATGAATACAATGTCAAATGCACACAGACAAAGACAGAACATGATAACCACTGTAATATGTATGAAATCAAATACAATAAATATCAGTGATAGTTGAATATTACCTTGAAGAAACACGGTTAGACACTCTTATCAACTCATCCCAAAGGTCAGGATCGTCAACTTTATCCAAGACTCATGAGAACAAGATTGCCAGGATCAAGAAACTCACAAACAAATAGGCTCAGCTGAAGAGAACATACAAATAGAAGTTATTGCCTTCCGCATCCCACCTCAAAGCACAGATACAAAAGTATGACACCCTTGGTGGGCACAGAGGATTTTACACATTTTAGCATTCACTAAGTAAATGCTTTAGGCCTTCAAAGAAGCTCTAGCCATAGCTAGAGCACCTCCATAACTTTTATTTGCACCGATGAATCCACTCATGTGGACAAAAATACAACCAGGGATCCCTGCCACCTCAGATAGTTTGTTACCTTCCAAACCCCTCCAAGGAAGTGGTAAAGGTTTCCTACTCTCAAACCTGCCAGGTGAAACTGCAACTGCCTGCAATCGCCAATTTTCACTTCTATCATCCTGCAAAGGTGACATGAAACATAACTCTGAAACAATTACCAAATTTATCATGAATTTGGGTTAAAAGGTTCTAAGATTAATGGTTTTGATCCCGTGGCGTTTTAATACCTGGTTTCTTTAGAATCTTAACCAACATAGAAGGCAATAAGAGGAGCAGAGACAACAAAAAGATACCTGGTAAATGACATATTTGATGGCAGTATCAATCTGCAGTTCTTCCTCAAGCTCAAATATGTGGAGTTTCCACTGGAAAAAATTGATCAAATGCAATTATATTAAACATTCAAGCATTAAGTGCTTTATCAAAGTACTCAGCAATCATGACACCAATGGTCAATATACTGGTAAATTTAATTCCAAAATCGTTTTCTTCTTTTTAGATGTAGAAAATAAATATAGAAAATCTACAGCATGCCATTGACAAAAATCAGTCATTTCAAAGATATGCTATTAAATAATAATTTGAATATGATTTTCACCTATAAGTTCATCTTTCTAGAAATATAAATGACAAATACCAAATAACACATCCACTGCTTACTCACAGGGCAAGATATTGTCAACACAATGATTTCTCCGCTGCAGTCAATATCATTTCTTGCTGAAAGACACTCCATCACAATAGATCGAGCTGGTAGCCAAGATTTCGCATGAAAATGAATACTCTGCTTAGGAAACAACATTATTTTCATAAGCATAACCATGCATTAACACCTTCAATGATCAATTATTTTGAATCCAACAAGTATGGAACTAATTTCCCACTCAAAAAGAATGCTTCATGAAAGAATTTTAACATGATAGATGCACACTATACCTCCAAGAATTCACTTCCAGCAAGTGTCATTGCACTCTGAAAGGCTTCATTCTCTCTCTCAGATGACTGATCAAGATCTACCCAGTCCAAATTTAATCTTCCAACTCTATAAGATAAGCCCGTAGCATTAACATATCTTGGTGGCCGGTCTGTGTCATATTGATTAATTCCATTGTCAATAGCATCAACTGCCTGTTAAAGTGATCCATCTCTTAGCATGATTTCTTCATAAGCATGCGAAAGGGGAGTGAAAGTGAAAATGAACATGATCACAATCATCCTATAAATCATAAGGAAGGTATACAAAACATTAACAAAATTGAGGATTTGAGCCAGTCAACTCACTTTGTCATGCAAACAAAAATGGGCACAGAAGTGTTATATGTTTTAACAATCTCTTACCTCCACAAAATTCTTATATACTGCTAGAAACAACCGATACACATTTGGATGTTGTACATCAAGCTCAAGCTCCTTTGCAATTATCTCCGCACCATAATGCTAAAAGGATAAAAAACTGTCATCAGATTGCAAATAACACAAGATTCTCATCGTTTTCCATTTTAGAAACGCCGGAAGCATATACAGTTAAAGAGTAGCGAAATACATTATATGCAAGGATAGTAGGGACTGGGGAGGGTACCCTATAAACAAGGCCTGCACTACTGAGTTTAGTGGTAAATCCATGGCTAAATACTTGCTCAAATCCTCGCTGATGATGATCGTAACGATCTCGGGTGGGATCATAAACACCCCTAGCATCAACCACGGCATCAAGATTCTCCAAAGCCTTTAAAAACACTATCGACAGTTACTACATTAGTGATAAGAACATGAGAATAGAAAAAAAAATGACACCTGGGAATCTCTGGTACGGACAATCTGGGCATTTGAGAATTTTTTGGTGAGACGAATCATGAAACAGGCGAGAGCCTCGTCACAATGAAAGCTGCCGTCGTGAGTGCCCACCCGCTTCGGACCTGCTGTTGTCGTTGAGAACCGACATGCCCCATATTTATAGCAATAAGACTTTGCCGTAGCTTTCAATAGTTTATTGCTTGTAGACAAAGATTTTCTATGACATTGACTCTGGATGGTCAACAACTTCTGCCTCATCCTTCGCACTGCGTACATGTTGCCGCTTTTGCTGCCTCTGCTTCACTTGCCGAGTTGCAAAACCCCTGCTAGTTCTTTTCCCCTCGAGCAAATTAAACTACTTCATTTTGCTTCTGGGAGGGGCCTGATCATATGCTGAATGGGCCCAAATCATACTTTTGATTGGATTTCAAATGACAATGAGGCCCAATATCACAGGAAACGGGCTGGCACTTGATTAGGATTGTCAGTGGGTTCAACTAGTTCATTTGTCCCTTGGGTAATCAGAGGAGCACAATCCATAAATAAGGTTTTTTCTTTTTTTCTTTTTTTTTTTTTTTTCACTTTCAAGAAGAAAAGCGGACCAGCTCCAGCACCATTATAATAAGAACAAAACAGAAATCTCAGAGGAACAGACACCTACCATGGTCAGGTAGGTTTATAAATCATAACATATAATAGAATAATTCACTAAATTATTGAATCATAGATGAGAAACGCCATCAACATTGGAAATCACACAGAAACCAACCAGGGAGTTAATTAACAATTTATCATGCCATTGCCATGTGATTCCACAGAGAAAAGGGACTGGCAATTTGTAAACTATAATGTCCAACAGCAGTGGATCAGTGGCAGCCTGGTAATGACCGGCTCAAAAAGCAACTATACTCACCTCAACCGCACATGACTCGTTTACATACCAAGTCTGAGTCAAAGCTTCAATAAAGAAAAGTATACAAAACCATTATAGCCCTTCCAAATAAACAGCAATCCTGTGTTCCAGTAGTTTTAACCCTAAGCCTCGAGGCTTTACAAAAGTACCGAAAGGCAGTTAATCATTTGTTCTTTACTGGATCGAATGTCAAATTTACATGTATATGATAATCATCAGGAATCCTGCAACCTGTATATTGTAATTTCCTGCTGTTTGAAATACCGACGATCCTCCTCATCAACCAGAACAAGATTCAAATAGTACTTCACACTGAATTTGTTGTTAATGTTGCGATGTGTTGGCGTCAGTTCATATGGACTAAGAAACAGCCTGATTGGAATTGATTCACCTTCAATACCAAGCACAAAATTGTGAGCAGTAAAAATGATATATATTATCTGATGCATCAAAACTAAAATTCTGCCCAAATCAACATCCTTCAGAAAAAAACACAAGGTCAGTCAATTATATATAAGCTAGTTGTATCAAGTATCTGCCACATCAGGTATTACAAAATGCAAGAAATCTGAAGTTATGAACATACCTCTGACAGGAGCACCATCCATCAACTCAAATTTAGCTAGTGTCTCTGTCTCAACATGGGTATTGGCTCCTGATCCTGTTGATTCTCGACGCCGGATCTCAAGATCCATATTCTTAATCTTGATCCTCACAAGAAGAAAATATATCTTGCCAATAATAACATCTTTCAGATGATACCTGTGCAATTTGGATTCCAATAAACAAGAACTAAATTTCCAGTTGAAACCTACATGATAGAAAGTGGCTAGGAAAATTGCTTCTTATAATAGTTTAAGATAGAGAGCTTAAATCCTAAACCTGAAATGTCCTAAGCCAACCTATGATGTCAGGTTTTAGCAAGATCCATAGATGTTCAACTTACTTGCTATTATTGTACTCAAATTCAATGTGCAGGCAATCCTCGATCCCAACTTCCATCTGCAAAAGGGATTGATATTTGTTAAAATTTAATACCATTGTCAAAAGAATTATTGGTGGGTAGCTCATTAGAAAATGGAAAAATGACAAATGTAATGTTTTAAGAATCAGTGTAATGAAGACATTTGCTACTCACCTTGATGCTGTTGTTGATTGGCGGAGGTGGAGAATAATTGTGAACCTGATAACCATAAATCAAGCAAAAGATAAGTTGCTATGGCCACATCACCGACAGTTGTAAATGGCACCAATTAGTGTACCATATACAATGATCGATATGGCAAATGTCCTGAAACCATAATGAAAGGCCAAATACATTGATGTTGGCTTTCCTGTATAAGAGTATTATATCAGGTATAAGGGGGGAAAAGCACTCTTCAAATTAAAACATAGCTTAAAGTTTTAACTTCTACCTTCTGTAGCACACATTTTATATGCTTATTTGCATAATGTTGTTAGTGCATATGAGAGTGAGGTGCCATATGTGCTAGCAAAAGAGAAGCAGATGCGTTGGAGAGAAAGCAAAAACTAAACAGAAAATAATGAAAAGAAGCAGGTGCCAATAAAAACACTTACCATAAAGTCCTGGTATTCCACTATGCTTCCACCATAATTACGGCTAACTGTCACTTTCAGGACATATCTGAGAAGAGCAAGAAATCAAACTATTGTAACATGAATTGCCACATTATAGCATCACATCACCAACCTCATCTGCAGTCCAACAAAACTAAAAAGCATTCGAGAGCTCCACAATCAACATACTATAATATACATATCAGACTCATTTCTAACCTTCATTAAGGTAAGTACACAAAATATATCATCATGGTAATCAAACTTATTTATAAGCCTTAATGATACATGGCAAACAAACTTCTAGTTATCAAGGAAACACTCCATTCAAATTGACCAGAAGAAATATGAACAAAATTTTATCTTCAAATATTTTAAGCAGTGGGCAGCATACCTGAGCCGCACATTCACACCATTATAAGTTTCATATGGCATTTCAACTGTAGAAAATTCAAATGGATACGTTTTTCTTTCATATATATCCCCAGGAATATCCAATTCACGTACTGCAAAAATTAGGAATATAAAAATAGTAAACAATACAAACCAACAGCCCATAAGAATTTAGAATAAAAGAAAACGTGCATGCACAGTTTGAGCCTCTAAATGAAAGAAGGATATGAATAATCATACACTGCAAAGCACAAATTGAACTCACTCTTAAGATCTTATCTTCACTCCAATCCACTTCACATGCAATTAATGAAACTTAATTCCCAAAGTTACTTAAAGGACATCTAAACAATTTCCAGGCAAAGCAAAGAAAAGCCAGATGATACTCACCAAGAGAAGTAAAGTCATAAAAGTTGCCCCTGTCAAAATACATCTCTGGAAAGCAAAAACAAAGTTAGTTTCAACTTCAATTCAACAAGTAAGAAATAACAAAATTCTTAAATGTTTATTCAGCTGCCACATCAGAATGATAATTAAAACTTGGACTGACAGTGAACAAGGAGCAAGAACAAACCTATTTGACCAAGGAGCTCAACTTTCACACCGTTATGTTCGATTTTCTTCCCTTGAAGTGGTTCTATGGAAATCTGAAGGCAGCAGATAATAGAAAATTCTTCAAACTTTAAGGTCGATGACAGAACATTCAAATATAAATAGAAGACTCAAATGATATGATCTTCAAACTGTTAAAAGTAAATAATAACTAGATAAATACCTTCCCAGCAATATTTTCTTGACTTTGGAAAAGCGGTACCATTACCGTTCGGCCATTTTCCTTTTTAATTGGGACCTAATCACATAACAATAGTTCAGATTCCGGCGACATGACTCGTGAAAAATTAACTAAAAACAATATAATTAAAAAATAAAATTATAGTTTCAATTTTCTTTTCAAACGAAACTAAACCTAAGAAGATCAAGAGAGATACCTGCTTGCGAGTTTTTCCATCGGTAAATGTGATCGATATATTACATGCCGGCTTGAAAGCTCCAATCAGGAAATTCTAATTCAAAAAAAAGGAAACCCCAATTGCATTCAATAAACATCATTTTAGAGTCTAACGGGAAATCCAATGAATGTGAAATCTTACCATGCTTTTACGGTTCAATTGTCGTAAATCACCGGGGAAAATAGAGGGAAAATACGATTAGATCAAGTGAAAAATGGGAGGTCGAACGAAATCGAGGATCAGTTAAATTTTTTAGAAAGTAGGGATTAGGATAGGAAACCGCAGAAGGAAGAAAAAAAAACCCTAGACGTCAGCGGAAATCGAGATTGGCGCAGAAGGGGAACCCAACCACTTTAGAGTTTCGACAGTTAGGAATCGGAAGCAAGGACTGGCGTAGGTACTGTAGTACCAAGCTCGATGTCGCCGTCGCGTGCTTTTCACGCGATGTCAAGACAAATACAAAATATTACTATTAGTACTCGAGTTTTTTTATTGATTTGGGGCAAGAACTCGCCGTGGGCCACCGCCTAAGCACCTTGATTTCCAGACTTCAGTGGTCCAACACACTTGTACTGATGGGGTCTTAGCTTTATCTTCAAAGTGATGAAGCGGGCTCTCTCAAGGCCTTTACATTAGAGGGTTCATAAAATTTTGGGAAATTCTTTATGTTAGTTTATTATATATATATATATATATAGGATTATAACTTGTATAATAAAAATTTTAAAATTTAACAAATCGATATAAAATACAATCATTTTATCATTTTTATTATATTATATTTTAATGAAATATGTGAAAACTTTTTTTGAATAATTTGTAATTGTGAATTTGTTGCTACCAATGAACTGTACAACAATTATAATTAATTATTATCTTTTTTATTTTATTAGAGAGATTTAAAATTTTTATCGAACAGCTTATACTCTTATTCATAATTTAATTTCTAAAGTTGTGTTTTAGATGACTAATGTTGTGGGAGTTGCATTGGTCGTGGTTCAAATAGATATTAAAAAGATTATATCACCTACAATAATTATAATATATTAATTAATTATATTTTAGTATTATGTAAGGTTGATAAAAAAATTTACATGAAGTCCACAAATTTAAGTAGTGAACTTTTATATAATTTTTTATTATAATTGATTAATTATAGTACTATAATAAAGATAATTGTAATTGATATGTGCCAAACACTAAGACCTAGTTCAGTATTATCATTAAAAATAATTTTTTTAATTCAAAAATTACTTTTGACCCAATCTAAATGCTAAACAAAAAAAAAAATGACGACTCAATTCAAAAATCTAATTTACAAACTAAATAAAAAAATATGTTTTTTGCGACAAAAAATACATTTAAAATAAAAAAAATCATATTATTCTATAATTTTTAATATTCTATTATTATATATATTTCAATTACACTGCACATTTTTACAATAATATCGATCACTTAAATTTTTAACTACATTTTTTTATCATATTTTTTAAACTTATTTCTTTCAACTCAATTTTTTTTCAGAACTAAAGTTTTTTCAATCGGATGGTAAACTAACCAAAAGTATTCGTAGAAAAATGGGCGCTAAGTATTATCTCGATATTATCCCTTAAGACTCATATTATAAACTTTACCCATATTCGCATCGGTCCCACGAACTAAAGGTCAAACAATTTTCAAATGAAATATGGCCATTCGTGTAGTTATGATCAGCTTACAGCAAAAGACAGAGGGAAAGGCTTGCAAAGTTGCAAAATTCAAGGCATGCGATAAAAGCCGAAGTTATGGCCGGAGCCACCAGCATTTAAAATGGTACCAAGTACTGGACTCCAGCCCACCCCATGCCATCACCCAATTGATAACAATTAACAGTAATTCCTGGCTGTTGCAACCTGTAAAAATTATAAGAACAAAAGACTGTGAAAAGCAACCACCGATGATGAGTAAACCATGCATTGAACGTAAAATTATTGCTTTCACATTAAAACATGGGAGCTGCAATACCCCAAAATGACTAGACCCATCTTGTTATAGAGATCTTCCAGATCAAGCAACAAAAAGTGGAATACAACACCCAAACCAGTCTTAACGGTGGTCCACCACATAAACATCCCTATTAAACTGAATCAACAGGGTTTCTCAAATATAATACAACTAAAAGATTTCACTGGCTAACTTTCACAAGCTCCATTGGAATTGCGGCATCTAAAATTATGGGGGAAAAAAATTATAGCCCAGGCAACCGAAATGCAAATGGAAAGTTATTTTAAATGAATAACTTAGTGACTATATCAGTTCTTACTGTTTCAAAGCTGCCATCACAATAAGAGCCACCTCAAATGTTAATAAGTAGCTTTGCCAGGAAAAAGAACCAAACTTTCAAAGCTTAGTATTACACAACACCAGATTCCATGGCGGAATCAGAGTATAGAGATGAGAATTTCAGACGTCTGGGGAATCTGATTGAAGGTTAACAATTTGAGAAACTACAAGCTTGGAGAGTTCATTAATAGCAGCTTGAACCTGATAATCATCTGATTCCCTCTGCCTTGACCATCCAGGTAATTGTGAACTTAACCTGCTATATTCATTTGCAGCAACCCCAGTCTTCTTTGATGTGGCAATAACTTTCTCCAAATCAATCTGCGATAACGGCCTTGGAGCCTAAAAAATAAATAATCAATGATATGTATAGGTAAAAAATACAAAGGTTATAGGAAAGATACCACAAAGTTCTCAATTCCGCATACAAACAGAACTTTTATGCATAGGTATATGTTTAAGACAACAAAGAGATCTACCTAGAATATCATCCTCTACCTCATTCTGCCTATGATCAAGTACATATGACAAAAAAGAATGTTAGATTGGTCGTCATCACACAACAGAAACAGCCAAACAGGAACTACCTCAACTAAAATATATTTATAAACAAAAAATTCATAGGTTAAATATGATGAGTGATTTAATTCAGAGATAAATGCTAGAGTCTGAACCTCAGCAAAACTTGAGAAAGATGATACATGGACGCAGAAAAGAAATACAAAAAATATACTTACTCCAGATGGTTTTCCTTTCTTCTCCTCATCTAGTAAGTCCCTAATAGGAAAGTATGCTGCTTTCTTGCAGAGTTCAAGAAGATCTGACCCTGTGTACCCTTCACACAAACTGGCTATGTAGTCAAAGTCAATGTTTTCTTCAACACTCTCACCCTTCAAAATCACCTTCAGTATCTCAGCCCTCTCCCTGCAGTCAGGTATTCCAATCTCAAAAGCCTGAGGAAGTCGTCTGAGTATGGCTTCATCTAGTTCGGATGGACGATTCGTTGCAGCAAGAACCATAACTTGTGCATTCTCTGCACAACAATATACAATCATTAAATTATAAATTATAATTTAAAAACAATACCCAGAACATTCTTCAGACGGCCCTTCATCACAAAACCAGAAAGACAGTACCTTGTTGGGGAATAATAACAGTATATAACAGCTTTTAGGTACAAAAATACTTACGGTCGGTGGTAAACCCATCCCATAAAGCCATGAACTCAGTCTTCATGTTCGTCATTGCTTCATGGTCTGTATTACGACGCTGTCCCAAAAAACTGTCGACCTCATCAATAAATATAATGGAAGGCTGGAGTTTATAGGCCAAGCTGAACACTGCAGCCACTGCCAAAGTAGAAGAGGAAACAAACAATACAATCTGAGACACATAGAACAAACAGACTTGCATGGGGACTTACATCCATTAGAAAAGGCATGTTGTCTTGAAAGGACGTTAATTGATAAGAAAGGTCAGCTTACTACAACTTACATATAAAATGACAATTTTCATCTTTTTTCTTTTTGTAACAATAAATTTCAGAATAATGATTTTAAAACAAAGCAGGAAATGGTTATTTAAAAAAAAAAAGAAGGCTGGACATTGGAGTTACAGGGCATATTTAGATGACAAACCCATTTGTGGGACCTCAGCCAAAAGACATTGCATGAAACCATCTAAGCACGACCTTAGGATGGTTGAATCAGTTGACCTTCACTTTCTTTTATCTACATAGAGTATTTTCTCACATTTCCACAGGAGTTAAACAAATAGACCAAATAATAATCAGAAAAAAAAAAAAAGAGTCCAATGTTGATCCCTTACAACAATATGAATTCAGGTGTCATCAAAAGAAATGCAAAAGCCCTAGAACCAATAGGGGATAGAACAAACAATATCAATACTTACCAAGTTTCTGTGCATCACCAAACCACTTGCTCATCAGATTTGAAATCCTCACATTGATAAAAACAGCTCCAGACTCCTTTGCAATGGCTTTAGCAAGCATGGTCTTTCCAGTACCCGGGGGTCCAATAACAGAACCCCTTTTTGAGGACCAAGAAGCTTTCCATGTGAAAACAGCTCTGGTCTCCGTAATGGAAGAATCACTAGTTCATAAAGAGCCTGCTTGATGGCTTCCAATCCTCCAATAGACTTAAATTCCACATCAATGTGATCAGGATTTATCACATCGCATGCTATCACATCCTGTTAAAGGAAAAAAGTACAAGTATGTGGTTACCATAAAAGTTAACAGTTAGAATCCCTTGCTTCTATTCTAACACCATATCTCAAAGCAAATATTCCAACAATCTATATTTTTGATTACTGAATATAACATGCATGAATTTCAAAGTATATTCGGTAGAATGCATTTTCAGATATGATATTTTTAGATATACAGTAGGATATTGATGAAAATTAAAAAAAAAAAGCAACCACTAGAAAATTACAGACATCAAAGAGAAATACTCTAAAGGCTGCAACAAAGGCTGAAAAAAACATGTGCTCATAAGATAGCATTCTGTTTTCTGCAGGGCTTATCGACAATTGGCTGGTTAACTATTCTCCATTAGTCTGGGTGAATTCCTTGTTAACTGGAAACTTGACCGTAATTAGTCCTGACAATTTTAAATACAACATGCTAACAACTACCTCACATAACAACTACGCTCGTTTAAGACTGCATTACTTTACACTTACAACTACGCTTTTAACTTTCTATGTATTGCTGATTCTTATTCAAGTAAGATTTCGCCTTAGCAACTTTGAAAAGCCAAAAGCAAATAACAAACGGCAACAATCAAAAGCAAGCTACCCTTATATCCCTTTAGCAAGCTTTAATGAATTCAATGTTCAAAATTCAGATAAAGAACACTGGTTAAAAGAAAATTTTTTGCAACTTTGAACTACAAGTTCCGGCCTTGGATTCCATCCCAACTAAGCAAAACCCTAATGAAAACACTAAAGAATAAAAAAAAACTCACAAAAAAATGGATGACTTATTCTCACAAATTAATCTAACTTACAACAAAATTACACTTTGACCTAAAGAAAAAGCTTCCAATTTTAAAAGGAAAAATACATATTACCATAAAACAATTTTTTTAAAAAAAAAATCTCAAATAAAAGTACCTCATAGGGATTAGTATGGATTAAAGGGCGACCCAAACGCTTAGCAATTTCCTTCTTGTGCTCCAGTGCTTTTTTAGAAGCTTCTCGGTTGGGGTCGAGGTGTCGGAGCCCCGCGAAGAGTACCAAGCAACTAAGGGCGGCGCTGGCGGCGTATAAAATCAGTTCTTGCAGGAACTTCGTTTCCGACGAGGATGAACCCATCTTTCGCATATATTTATTTCTTTCTTTTAGTATATCAGAAAAACATACAAGTTACAAATAATAGCAACTAAATAATAATTAGGGTTTTAAATTTTAACAGAAGAGGAACTTGGGAATGAAGAAAAGCGAAGAGGCTTTGGTTTCGGCCAACTTGGTAATCTCGAATCTCGAATTTCTGAGGACCTTCGCGAACTGGAAAGAGATTTTCTCGGCCTTAGCCCATTGGATCTTAGGTTTTGCCCTTGGTAGGATGGGCCTTAGCCGTAATGGAGCGAACTTCTCGGCCCCTCAACCCAAGCCCAATTGAACAAACAGGACTAGGTATAGAAAATAAATTTTCTAAATACCGAAAAAATAAAATAAAAATAAGATCATTCTAGTAATAGAAGATAATTTTTTTTATTTTACATGAGATATTAAAATATTATCACATATTTATTTATTTTCATAAATATACTTATATAACACGTGTTAATTTTAATTTTATATAAAATGATTTTTCACAAGAACATGTCGACTTTTTATTTATAAATCGTGCAGTGATGGGACACTCACAAATGTTTTGTCCATATGATATGACTGTTGACATTAATTAAAAGTTAGTGGACCAACAAAAACAGGGAAAAGGACAAAAATATTAACAATATATTTTAGCATTTAATTTCAGTGAAATATTAATTTTTTTCATTATTTTTATGAAATTTTTATATTCGATAATTATTTTAAATTTTAATTAATTCAAAATTAAATTGAGTCAAATTTTATAAAAAATTCAATTTTTTTAAGTTTATTTTTTTATTTACATGATTTGAAATTAAAATTTTATTTTAAAAAATTAAATTTTTTATTATTTAAATCAACGTACATTAGTGATTTTTTTTTTTTAATTTTATTCTATCCTGAATTTCATTCCACCGGATCCCATTAACTACAACAATTTACTTTAATAAATAAGGCGTTATACATTGAACTCGAATTCCCTTTCCGGTGCCGCTGGGATATTGATTCATTTACTAATTTATAGCAATAGATTAAAGTTATCTCTTAAAAAGTAAAGTTATCTTCAGCATTAATTATTATTAAATTAATATTTTTACTGTTCGTCTAAATCATTAAATAAAATAACTGGCACTACCAACTCCTAAAAATCTAATAAATAAATAAATATATATTTTTTTATTTTACAATTCAACACCACAGCCTCCCTTCACCACCACTATCATCTGTCCCACGAAATATAAACAAATATCTCGAGAAGTAATGACCTAGAAAAGCAAAAAAAAAAACCCACACGCACGCACAGCTTCTCATTTCAAAATGGATACAAATCTTTTCTTTTAACTTGTGTCCTGTGCCTTTGGGTCTCAAACTCCATTCCATTAAAACTGAAAACCACCATTGTCGAGATTATCACAGCCTAACCAAAGCGCCTCTACTTCCATTAAACTGTCAATTCCCACCATCGCTACGCCCACAGTAAAAAGTAAAAAACCACAAATCACCTCCCCACAATCAGACCATCATAAATCCCTTCACCACAATCGTTAGAAAAAAAAAAAAAAGGAAATCTAGACGTGAAACCACCCGTTTCCACCACCATTTCGAAACCAAAGAATCCCATTTTTTTATATTAAATATGAATTTTTAACATCTTTTTAGAATCAATATATCATTTAAAACTTTTGCATCAACCAATAACAAATGGTACTAACTTAAAGAAAAAAAATAGTGGAATGGGAGAATATGAATCAATAGTGTCCCCAAAGGAACAAAAAAAAAAAAAAAAACACAATGCGTTAACATGATTTTTTTTTAATTTTCCAATTTAGAATAAAAATAATAAAATTAATACAATTTAAAATTTAAAATTATTAAATATTATCTTTTAAAAATAATTATATAAATAAATTAAATTAAATACCAAATTCATATTAACATAACTCATATCCCAATAAAACACTAGCTTCTATTAGGCAAAACAACAAAAAGGACTAAAGAAAAAACAAAAATTTTTAATTTTTAATAATAATCCCATGTTGTACTTCTCTATTTGGAGATCCTATTACATGTTGTAGTACAATATCTTAATAAAATTTAGGTTAGGTTAATGTAGTTGCAAACCAAAGTATTCTCTCATTTATTATCACCATCCAATTTAGGGTGGCGGCGGCCCGTCCTAACACCACTCCTCTACCCTCCAACTTTCATTTTTATTAATTATCTATTTTGACATGACAAGTTTTTATTCAGAAATTTAAGATGAGATTTATTAATTTATAATACACATCCTGTTGTATATAATATTTAAAAAAGAAAGCAGAGGGGAGTTAGTCAATGGGATTAATAATAGATTCTCCACATCCTGCGACTCCAACGAAAGACACTTGTGTTGACTAACAACAAGGTGTCAGTTAAACAATTTTTCTGTCTGCATGTGTTACACGCCAGGAAATTCCATTTATTATTCCTATTTTTTACTGCTACTATTGTTTTTTTCAAGACATTTATTGCTCCCTCTGTTTTATTTATGTCGTCATTTTTGCATTTTTTTCTTTTTTTTTCATTTAAAATTTATCCCGATCAATCAAGATGCCCTTTTGAATATATTTTTATCTCTTTCCAGAAATCTTTAAATAAAATTTTACAGACATTCAGCTTCTTTTTAAGCACGATGATTTACACAGTTGTTTGTTAAAAAAAAAAATCAATTAAAGATGACATGGGAGTAGAACCTAGACTTGTTCCAGGGCAAGCCCACTTCTCTAGGGAGCGCGTTACAAGCACGTGGCAGTCCAGTTGTCAGAGACAGAGACAGTGACTTCCGAGGCGGGGCTTTGATCTGACGCCAGTGGATCAACATCAACGACACCCATTCCTGAGCCCCCACTGTCTCAATCTGGATTTGCAATCTCCGAGAGAGTTTTCCTTTTCTGGTTGTTTGGCCCTTTGCATTTTATGCTTTTGGTGAAAGTTCCGTGTTTAAGCGGCACGCTTTTCCCGGTGGAGAGGTGCTTTCAAGCCGAAGGAGTCGAACTAGTCCCAATGAATCTCTTTGAAAGGACTTCCATTTCCATGCGCGTCTCTATCCCACTCTTTCTCTCTCTGTAAATTTTTATCTTTAATCCATTTCCATCCCCGTCTCTATCCCACTCTTTCTCTCTCTGTAAATTTGTAGCTTAAACGAGAGTCAACGTAAAGGATCAAATTTGATGGCCAAACATTTGTCGAAATGTATTGGGGTTCAATGGCTGGATGATTAATGAATGTACTGCGAAGGATGCTTTGTACTACTTTGCAGTACATGCAATGGGTCTCGAAAGCCTTAGTCCTAAATTTTTTATTGGGGTTGTTAAGCTGTGGGTGCTTTAATATAAGACCCAGCAATTTTGTGCCAAATTGCAATGTCTTGATTTACTGATTTTGAGATACTCTTTTGAAGATTTTAGGGTAATCATGGTTCAGATGTCGAATTTAATGTCCTGGTGATGTTGCATTGAATTGAATTTAAGTAGCGTTTTGGCTTTTTCTGGTGCTTGTGGATTGCTCGTGGTCCTTTCGGGCTGTTTGTTACCTTTGCCTCGGTCCATCGAAAGACTCAAACTAAGGTATTTGCGATATCTTATTCCTTGTATTTGGAGCTTTTTCCGATACGCATAAGGTGAGAAATGAATTAGCATTTTAGTACTTCTGTCGCATGTTCTTAGATTACGCAAAAATAAAAAACACAAAACCAAATCCCAATTTGACGTTGTTTAATGAATTCCCGTTAATTCGACAGAGATGAATTAGAAGAAAGTTCGAGCCTGTACAAGTTTTTCCAAGGTCTGGTCTTTGCTGCATTCTAGCAAGAAGAAGAGAAAACTGTTCACCCAGGTAAGATATTTCATGGCTGCATAAGTTGTCCATGTAGTTTCATTGTAGTATTTGCTCTCTTTGAACTGAACCTGAAAATAAGATTTTTGTGATGATTAATTAGACTAGCAAGAACCAAGTTTTATCAATCCAATTGGAAACATGAACATGGAGGAGATGAAGGAGATTGAGAGAGATGAAAGAGAAGATTTTGAAGAGATGAATAATGAGCAAGAGGAGTTGAAAAGAATTGCACCCTGGATGAAACAGATAACAGTTCGAGGAATCATTGTTAGCCTTCTTATTGGTATCATATACAGTGTGATAGTCACGAAGCTCAACCTCACAACCGGGATAGTTCCCAACCTCAATGTCTCGGCTGCTCTTCTTGCCTTTGTGTTTGTTAGGTCATGGACTAAGCTGTTTCAAAAGGCTGGATTTGTTTCAACTCCATTCACTCGACAAGAAAATACTATAATTCAGACCTGTGCGGTCGCTTGTTATAGTATTTCTCTTGGAGGTTTGTGTACTCTTATCAAGTTAATTTGTTGTCTGCAATCAAGTTTTTCTTCCTTTTTGTTTAATTTTATTGATTAATTGGATACCATTTCACTTGTTTTTGTTTCCTCCATCAATTATTTAATGCAGGTGGTTTTGGGTCTTATCTGTTGGGTTTAAGTAGGAAGATATATGAGCAAGCAGGCCCTGATTCAGAAGGCAATAATCCTGGGAGCATCAAGGAACCTGGGATTGGTTGGATGATTGGTTTTCTCTTTGTAACCTGCTTTGTTGGGCTTTTGGCGTTGGTTCCTCTAAGAAAGGTATGTCTATTTCTTCTATTTTGCTTTCTTGCTATTCAGGGTTTCCAAGATTAATGATGATAGATTCATTTGCAGCGATTTCATTGAGTCTTAGTTGGTAATCCGCGTCTTAATTATTTAAGACCATTATATATATCATCTTAATAGTCAACAATTATGTCCTTTTTGAAACTTTCAATAATGTGGTCATGCAAATTTTTGTTCTGTCAGATCATAATAATTGACTACAGATTAGCTTACCCAAGTGGAACTGCTACGGCTGTTCTGATTAATGGTTTTCATACCCCTAGAGGAGACAAAATAGCCAAGTATGAATCTACGATTCTGAATTCTTTTCTTTTCAAATTAGAAATGAAACAGGTTGTAAGTGTTGCATAACTCAAGTTGTAATGATTCATCTTGCAGGAAGCAGGTTCATGGATTTCTGAAGTTCTTTTCGCTTAGTTTCCTCTGGGCTTTCTTCCAATGGTTCTATGAAGGCAGAGATAGATGTGGATTTTCTCAGTTTCCTACATTTGGTTTGAAAGCATGAAAAATCGTGCGTGCTCTAGATTTCCTCTTCTCTATGTTGTCATCTTTCCACTTATAATCTTGCCATAATCACTAATTAGAGAAATTCAATTTTGCAGATTTTACTTTGATTTCAGTACGACTTACGTAGGAGCAGGAATGATCTGTTCACATCTAGTAAACTTATCTTTGCTACTTGGAGCGGTGCTTTCTTGGGGAGTAATGTGGCCACTAATCGGCGGGCTCAAAGGAGAGTGGTTCCCTGCAACTTTACCTGAAAGCAGCATGAAGAGTCTAAATGGTTACAAGGTCTGCAGAGACATTTTATCTTGTATAGCTTCTCCCTTGATGATATCTTGGCACCAATATTCATACTCATTTCTCACTATTTTCCATTTATCATGCAGGTTTTTATTTCTATTGCTCTAATCTTGGGGGATGGGCTCTACAATTTTCTTAAGATACTGTTTTTCATTGCAAGAAGCTTTCACACCAAAGAGAAAAATAACAACCTTAAAACATGTAACTCATCAACTTCATAAATTTTTTTTCTTGTCTCCTCTCCAGCTTATTACTTCCATTACTTCCATAATTTTCTACTCACTAGTTATAGCTGCCGGCTCCTATGAAAGTACAAGGGTACTTAAGCAATTCAAATATTTTGTTTTCATGGTGAGGTGGTGGACTGCCCCTTTTATCATGATTTGACTTGTTGCGATGGTGTTCATTTGATTTGGAAGTGCTAAACCAGATATGGGTCACCATGGTCTCATAGATCCTTAGAGAATAAAAACTTCACTAACTCTCCTTTCTCTATGTTGCTGTCCTTAGAGAATGGCAACTTTATTAACTTCCTTTGCTTGTAATGCAGTTTCTGATAACCAGAAGAAGCATCTGGATGATCTTCAACGAAATGAATTATTCATAAGAGAAAGCATTCCTATTTGGGTAGCATGTGCAGGGTACACCATTTTTTCTGTCATTTCCATCATTGTGATCCCTTTGATGTTCCCTGAGCTGAAATGGTATTATGTAGTTGTTGCTTACATTCTTGCACCCTCTCTAAGCTTCTGCAACGCTTATGGTGCTGGTCTGACTGACATGAACATGGCCTATAATTATGGAAAAGTAGCCCTCTTTGTGCTTGCTGCCTTGTCTGGAAAGGAAAATGGTGTGGTTGCAGGACTTGTAGGCTGTGGTCTTATTAAATCCATGGCATCTATCTCTTCTGATTTGATGCATGATTTCAAGACTGGTCATCTAACTCTCACTTCTCCGAGATCCATGCTTCTCAGCCAGGCAATTGGAACGGCCGTTGGCTGTGTTGTAGCTCCTCTTACATTCTTTCTCTTCTATAAAGCTTTTGATGTGGGGAACCCTCATAGCGAATACAAAGCCCCATATGCCCTAATTTATCGAAATATGGCAATTCTAGGTGTTCAAGGCTTCTCTGCCCTTCCCCAGCATTGTTTGCAGCTCTGCTATGGGTTTTTTTCCTTTGCCATAGCAGCCAACTTGTTGAGAGATTTTACTCCCAAGAATATTGGGAAATATGTTCCCCTTCCAATGGCTATGGCTGTGCCTTTCCTTGTTGGTGCTTATTTTGCAATTGATATGTGTGTGGGGAGTTTGGTTGTGTTTGTATGGCACAAACTAAATGACAAGAAGGCAGGTTTGATGGTTCCTGCTGTTGCTTCTGGCTTGATATGCGGAGATGGGTTGTGGCTTCTTCCTTCGTCTATTCTTGCTTTGTTTAAGGTTCATCCTCCAATCTGCATGAACTTCTCAGCGACGACGTAGACTATGTTAACAGGACAGTGAGAAAGATAGAGAGTGCAGAGGCTTTGTTAGTTAACATTAAACATAAACTAGTTTTGTAGTTGGTATGGAATTCGGACCAGCATAGTGTTTGATACACAAGCTGTGTCTTGGAGCAATAGGTAGAAGGCAACATTTTAGATATATGCATTTTAGCTGCTCTAAAGTAACATACTTTATATGAGCTGGAAGTTGCAGGAAAAATTAGTTAGTTCTGATTTATATCAGAATATGAAAAAGTTGTAATAAAAATCAGTTTTGGTGAAGAATAAAGAGCAATTTCATAAAGGATTCTGAATTGAAGCAACCGTTCCGTTGCTTGTACAGTCATTGACACAATTTAGTCATCATGCTGGATGCTGTCTTCTCGATGTTTTTCTAGTTGTCTTGTTCATACTTCAAAATATGTGGACTTCTTTTTGCTTATATATACTTATATCTTATAAGAGCTGTATAAGTACGAGAGCAAATTGTATATTCCCAACAGTCAATAGACGCATGATTTGTTAATAAAGTGTTAGATTTTTAATTTCAATGATCAGACATCAAATTTTGTCAATTTCAAATATAAAAAAAAAATTTTTTTTCACATTATGCCTCAAGCCACGAACATTTCTTTTTAGAATGTCAATAACAGCTACATAGCCAGAAACTGTTAGCAAAGGAAACAATGCTGCAAATCTACTACCAGGGGGAATGAACTTTCTTGGACAGAATTAACAGAAAGCTTATATCTTCTCATGAATTTAACATTCAACATTAAGATGACAGTTTTTTGTGCCATTTAGTATTTTTTTTCTTCATTTTGTTTCTTAAGGGAAGATTAAACAATCAAACTCAATTAGATTGTGGGTTTTACTTAAACTCAACTTGTTCAACTATTGAAGCTATTAAAACTCGGATTTGATATGACACTGACAGAAAATTGAATGTCTACATTATCAGTGCTTTGAGCTGTTGATGAGGCATATATATATATATATATATATATATCTCCCCTGGTCAGTTTGATTGGATATGTGCCCATAACAGGACAGAGATAAGTTTGTGAAGGATAGAAGGATGTGAAGGGAATGGATCGAATATTCTCAATGGTCCCCTGAGCCTAACGCCCCAAAGCTATTCCTTCCCTTAGAGATGAGGATTCAGGGCAAGTCCCAAGAATGAAAGGCTCTTGCAAGGCAAGTCAAAGATTAGACCATCGCCTTCTCTGAGAAAATGACTTCAAAAACATTACCCATACTAGTATCAGATAAGAGCCTTTTATTGCACAAACCTTTGACTCTTTGCAATCTTGTGGAGCATTGATGGCCAATGCAGCCTCCCATGAAAGTTTAAGCTCAGCTTCCCTAGTCTCTTTGGTAGTACATATGGCATCAACCTCCATAATCTCTAAATGTCTAACCCCTGAAAATGGAATCCAAATGCAAACAAAACACACTTTTAGCCATAACAGCTCTTGTCCCTCCTTCTAGTTAATTTTCTACATAAACAAAGCCAAAGTCCAACACATGCGAAAAATTCAAAGGAGCACACCGTTTATTGGACCTAATCTACCAGCTTTTCCAAGTCCGACCACGGAAAATAATTACGGCGCTGGCTTACCCTTTAGAACAAAAAACAAAAAGAAACTTTTTTTTAGGAGTATGTCAATTTATTTAATACTCACATTAATATTTACAATTTAATTAAATTATTTATACATTTATTTTTTAAATATGATATTTAATAAATTTAAATTTTAATTATTTTAAAAAAATATTTAACAAATTTATCCAATACTTGCAACCTTTTTATTTATTCTCAAATTACCAGAATTTTTATATAAAAAATATTTAGATTACCATAAAGACAATAAAAACTCTATGGATAGGAAAATTTGAAACCATCATTGAAGTCTAATTTGGTTGGATATTTTTTAAATGAAATCTTTTATACAGCACCCAATATGGAGTTGGGCACATAGTCGTGCATATGGGGGACCTAAGGGCATGGCTTCATCATGCATTACCTCAGATAGTAACATAAAGAAAATGACACATGCCAGTTTTTAAATTGGTGAAGTTTTATTTTACCGCATAATAATCATAGAAAAATTATTTATATACAAATTTTAAGTAGCTTATGGTCGCATTGACAATTTATCAAAAAAAAAAAAAAAACCTAAATTTCGAATGGTCAAAAACATGAAGTCACATTTATGTAAAATTCAGTAATAACGACTATTGAAATTGAAAGTTGAAATTAAAGAAGAATCCTTTTCTTCTCTTTTTTTTTTTTTCTTTATTATTTTTTATTTTTCCGGCGAGTGAAAGAATTGAGGACGGAGATGAAACAGCACACAAATTCAGTGGGAGAATAGGACGAAATTGAAAAGTAAACTATAGCACTAATTCTTGAAGAGACAAAACTGCCCTCGTTCTACAACACCCCGTCCGAGGTTAGCTCCGTAAATTTTGACAGTTACATGGACGTTTTGGCAATGGGACACCGACACATTTGATTGAGCTGCCACTTTCCGTCTCTTTGACTAAAAAAACAAAGACTACTTAAGGAAAGAAAGCCAAATCTTTCGAAATTCTCAAAGCCTTCGTAAGTCAATTGGATTCCTCTCTTCGTTCCATCCTAAATTCTCTTTCTCTTTCTCTTTCTCTTTCTCTTATCCTTTTTATTTACACGTTTGAAGGCTTTTGGACTTTTGATTTTACAAATCTGGGTACTTCAGATCTCTCTTAGCTTTGAACGTTAAGGCTTTAAGCTTGTAATTGGTGTTGGGTTTTTAAATTTTGGTGTTATCTTTGATTTGCAGTGGTGAATAATGGCTTCAGATTCAAAGATTCACACTTTCGATGAGGTTGCAAAGCACAACAAAACCAAGGATTGCTGGCTGATTATTTCTGGGAAGGTCAGATCTTTCTCTTTCTTTCAGTCTTTCTATTAAGGATTGTTTAATTGCTTTTCGTTAATAGAAAATCAAAATAACGGACCTAGGAACAGCAAAAAGAAAAAGAAAACAAAAGAGGAATGGGGAAGAGGAAGGGGGATTTTTTTTTTTTTTGATGGAAGGGTAGAGAATTAAAGATCTGACTTGATTATATCCATGGTAGGTGAAGCTTGACCTTTTACCTTTTAAGTAATTGGGTTAGTATATGAAATATCTTAAGTTTAGTGTTTGTTTCTGCAACTTTTGATGCCACTAATATGGTTGTGTTGGTCAGATAGATTGGAAGTTTTCAACTGGCAGAACTCCCATTATCAGTTGAAAAAAAATTCCTTGGGGAAAATAGTAGTACTTTTTGAAGTTTGAATTAGATGACTAAATGATAGTGATATGATTTAATCACATAAATATACAAATGAAAACGTTAAAATCTTTTTGGTGAATTAACTCCGGTAGTTTACTTAGCGTATGTGGCAACATCTGCTCTCATCTATCATCGTATATGTCTGCAGCCTCAGCTGGAAACTGATGAGTACAGTACTTACCTGTAATTGACTAGATGAAAATTTCAATTTCGGTCAAACGCAGTTCAACTTTTTGCAGCATATTAAACAATGATATTAACGTATATGTATCTTTTTCGATGCTTAAAAGTTGCTAAAAATATGACAAGAGCAAGATATTTGGAGTTAAATTTTGTATTATGATATTGGGTATAATTGAGATTTTCCTCTATATAGGTGTATGATGTAACTCCGTTCATGGATGATCATCCTGGAGGCGATGAGGTTTTGCTGTCAGCAACCGGTAAATTTCTACAATATTCTTTATATTTAGTTCTTTAATTACTTTTACTGAATCAAGCCTGAATTTGGTAGTAAGATGATGGTATTTTCCGCAATTTTTTTCAGGGAAGGATGCCACAAATGATTTTGAAGATGTGGGCCACAGTGATGATGCGAGAGAAATGATGGGAAAATACTACATAGGCGAGATTGATTCAAAAACTGTTCCTGCTAAGCGCACCTACATTCCACCGCAGCAAACGCCTTACAATCCCGATAAGACCCCTGAGTTTGTTTTTAAGATCCTACAATTTCTCGTACCCCTCTTGATTCTGGGATTGGCTATTGCATTACGTCACTACACCAAGAAAGAGTAGCTTATTGCTACACAGGAGTTTAGCAGTTTTGATGAGTGAATTGGTGGTTTCATCAGTTAGTAGAAAAGGACAGTTGTTATCTTTTGTTTAATTTCCATTCAATGTTTGTGCGTCAAATTGAATACTGGTTCATATTATGGTCCATTGTCGAAGACTATGCTCATCGAACAACCCCCCCCCCCCCCCAATTTATGCTAGCGGCGAGACAAGACGATGTTTAATTTTGTTGGAATTAATAAGCAGGAACATGTTTTTATTCCTTTGTCTTTAATTCTTTTTGTTCCCCATCTGGAATGGCAATATATTGCCTTTCTCCTCTACCTCTTCAAACTAATTTTGAAGATTTAACACACGAGTTCTACCATTGTAAGGGCTGCCAAAGAGCACTTTAACCCTGTTATAAGGGTGGAGATGTATCACAACGGATAGCGTGAATCCTGCTATAATGGTCTTAATAATGGATTTTAAGCTTGGCTGCTTCATCCCCTTCTCCCCCTCCCTTTCATATTGGATAAAATCATGAAAAAGTGGAAGCTACAATCCAATATCTTGTCAAATAACAACGAGATTTGAAGACAACTTCAACTCGAATTTCCAGCTTAACTCTCCAGTCTACACTACCAGAACCAAGCCGGACGCTCCACTCCTAGCCTTAGCCTGATCTAAATCCAAATATACGATACAAAGGGCAAGACCTTTATATAAAAGCACAATGCCAAGAGCTCGACAGTGTCCGATCTTTCAAAGCCAGTCCGTGCAAGATGATGCTAGAAACGTAAGGTATACCAAAAAAAGCCATGATGGAATCACATGATAAATTCCCTAATATTTCTCCCGCAATATTGTACATTGATTGGAATTTTGGACTCTGCCTATCTGCCGTAACACAAAAGTGGTGCTATAATATGGAGCAGTGGAATGCAGATTTATCTACTGAGGCTTCATTTGGATTGCATTGTTGGAGCCCTCTAAAGATCCAGTCATAAAACACAAACCCCGGTTCGGTGGGAGCCCTCTCACCACGCATTCAAATCAAGCCTAACTAAGCATTTTTCAACTATTGCCACTACCTACTTAGCCTTGAGAGTGAGCAGTGACAAAATAAGTAAATACAACTCAGCACAGACAGCATTTCAAGCAGTGCATCGAAAAGGAGACTTGAAATACCTACACAACCAGGTTCAAGAAAGAACTGAGCACATAAAATTAGTGGACAAAATGTGGTAATTGATCAAAAGGACGACCCTATCTTGTCATGAAGAGTTACCACCAAGTCATGCGCATCATTTAGGAGTTTCCATACATCAAGTTGACCAGCCATACTATTGCACTCCCTTAAAATCTCATCCATGCTGCTATACTTCTCTATGATCAATTTCCTCCTCTGCAACACTGACGCTGCAATTGCATAAAGCAATAAATCATCTGTTGGGGGTGCCTGCTGTCTTATCCTGCTCCAGGCAGACTTCCCAATCCCCGCTCTAATGGCTGCCTGATCTGCCCACATTACCTCCCAAAGGCAAATTGTCTGTTCAAATGTCAATTCCCTCCTAAACAATACCACCACCATCCTATAAACAAAAAAGCAATCCTCAGCCTGGAGCTTCTCCAAATGCCTGTAGAGGTGAGAGTCTTTGCATTTGATTATCTTGGAAACATTATTAAGTTGCCTTCTGATCCCCACCTCATCAAGCCTAAAATTATGTCGAGCTTTCTTCATGAAACCTACAAAACACCAGAAAGCCTCGTAATCCTCTGGCATGACTGTAATAATTGGAGAAAGGAGATCACTCATGCCCTGACAGTAGCCAATTTCGGGGTCATGAAGTGCATAAGCTTCGAGGATAGCAACCAAACGAGCAGCATGGAAAATTCTGCAGGGATCCAGGTGATCATAATCCTTTAACCCAACAGCCTCAGCTGAATGGCGAGCCCTTGTGTCTGATACTGCAGCCTGAGAAGCAGAATATGGCATCCATTCAGCATTGGCACGCACAGCATCTAGGCGTATGATCCGCTGCCAGGTGGAAAAATCTTCAGTTGCACGTAGTTTTGACAGTCCTTCAGTGCTTGAGGGAGAAACATTCCTTTTTGAAGACAAGTCAGGATCATTCACCACCCTGCCTTCTAAAGAGGGGGAACCCTGAATCACTTCAAGGTCTTCTGAAGAGTCAGAGTCTGATGACTCACTGTTCAGTGACACATCAGCATTCGTTATTCTTCTTGAACTATCGTCTCCTTCCAACAATGTACTGGATGGTTGGTCTGAGTCCCTAGCATCCTGGCTCCTTTCCTCACTAGAGAGAGATTCTCTGGCACTAACCACATCTTGGGAGCTAGATGTGTCTGTGTCCTGAAGAAGACTCCCACTTTCTCCGTTTTGACAAGTTCCACCTATTTCAGTAAACTTAAAACTCCCTGTGCTGTGTTTTAGGAGCCGGCAGCAATCTCTGCGGAGTTTTTCATATTCCTTCCTGCATCAACAGATAGAGAAAAGGTGATGAAACAAACCAAAGAGATCAGTAGCAATCAACTTATATAGCTAAAAGAAGTAATAAATTATAAAATGTGGGGAAAAGAATGTAAAGTTTACCTTTTCTGAGTTCTAACAGCATCTCTTTCTTCTTTGGAACTGTTTAAGTTATAGCTGTTGCAAAAGAAAAGAAAAAATTTCATGATATGAGATGGGAAACCCATGGTTTCAGAGTAGCTAAAATGTTCAATGGACACATGCCCCAGCAAACCGTTATTACATGGATAAGTAGAAACTTCTCTTGATGCTTGGCTTGAGGGGGTAAAAGAACAACAATAGCAACAATTTTAACACAGATTCAGCATACTTACACTCCGAGGAGGAAGGGCCAGACCTCTGCCCTAATACTTGGATCAACACCCTACATCATAAGAGTACAATATTAAGCATTCCAATTACAAGGAAACAAACAAAAGAGAAAATGTACAGATTAGTTGCAGCAGTAACTTACTGTACTACGAACTTTCTTCAAGAACTTGACTCCACCATCACGGAGTCTACCATCAGCTGTAAATAAACTTCTCCACTGTTGAGGTGAAAGGGCATGTTTCTTTCTCCAGCGAGACCAGGGTGATTTGAGTCGACCACTGAATAAAAAATAGATCAAATTTACAAATTGATAATGAGAAGCTAATGATAATAGGAGAAGAATATGTGATTTATTAACATAGAGGGTATGTGATTTATAAACATAGAGGGGTAGGTGAAAAACAAAATTCCAACAGCAAATATCCTAGCACCTAAATCAACACTCAAGAGAACCAATTTATAAACTAACACTCAAGAGAACCAATTTATAAACTAAGTCATCCCTTTCTGCCTTTCGTATAATGAGGTTCAAGGAAAGAAAAATCATCATTAAGTTTGCCAAAAAAGGAGGTTGGGTTGTTTCAGACTAGGCAGTCTAATCCTCCCTCATCAAGCTTACACCTGACACCAATCTCATGAGCAAAGAGAAAAGCCTTAAACCTATGAAGATCCACCAGAAAGATAAGATTCGTATTTCAATTCTACTTTGCTTAGGGGGTCAACCGAATTGTGGAATATGGCTTAAATATAAACTATTGCACCAGCACCAGTATATGAATCATAAGTAACACATATACCTCTCAGATAAACCTTTTAAAAAAGAGCTTCAAGTAAGCATCGATTATCGATGATCAGAATAATCAATCCCCAAAAGTTTCAAACTTCTAAACTGTAAAAACAAGATTAGCAGTTGGAAGTCAAGATTCGTCTTGGAGAGAAGAGAAAAATGGACACTTCTTCAGAATATACTTCCCTCTAGTATTCCAACTTTAAAAATTGATAACTTCCATCAGTTGATTAAAAAACAGGGAGAAAAAGAATCAGATTTCACATCATATTTTTTTTTTCAAAATCTCTGTTTCATTTGATTGTGAGTGTTAATATTCAAAGATTGCAACTTTAAAAGTCTATCAACGTAATTGTGACTAATATTCTAGCAGATTGAAACAATCTAAAAGCGGATTCAGTCAACGAAAAAAAAAGAAATAAGAAAAAAATTGCTAAGGCGCATTAATACAGATCCAACAAATCAGTAAAGTAAAAATTAAAATTTGACATAAACAAGCAAAGAATGGAGCAATAACGGTTGAAAATTCTAAGAAAGAAGAAGCAGAAACCCTAATAACCAAAAGAAAAGTTTAAAAGGAAGTAGAAAGAGTCTAAGCATAAGCAAAGATGAAGAAGCGAAGCAAAGGAGTAGTTTTGAACTTTAAAAAAAAAATTTCAGAGCGGAGATCGGGATCTGAATCGAAAATCTAACAAGAGATTACTGAAAATGAGTAGGTGTTTTAGGGGAAGAGGAAGAGGACTCACCGATCAGAGGAAGAACAAGAAGCCGGTGAAGAAGAAGTAACAACGAAAAGAACCGAACGCAAATGAATCCACGACGATGACGAAGACGAAGACGAAGATGATGAGGGTGAGTTTGGAGAAGAAGACGAAGTCTGACTTCGTCTAAGAGCTCTCATCTATTAGAATTTGGTTTTTATCAACTACTCTCACACTACGTAACGTTACTAGGGTTTTCGGAGATTTCTTTATCTATTAGCATTGAATGATCGATCAGTTTTTTTTTTTTTCGATTTTTTTACCTAGTGGTGGTGTAGAAAATGGCAGCGAAGAGAGCAAAGCCGGCGAGGGCGGTGACGGCGACGACAGTTTTGGAGGGCGGCATCGCCACAGCCGACCCGAATCCGCCGCCGCCAAAGCGGTGGATTCCGGTAGGGCTGTCGTTGCCTGAGGTGACCATGAAAAGTTTTGAGGTGGAGCAACCCTAAACTGAAATGCCCCAGCTGCTGCCCCTTCCTTTTCCTTTAACTTCTTCTTCTTCTTCCCCTCTTTCTCCGGATTTCCTCGTCCTTCTCTCCCTCTCTCTCTCTTTGGTTTTGCCCAATCAACCGCCAAAGCAAGCCTTTTATTTTTGTCTCTCTCTAGACTCTACGGATCCGCTCTACTACACAGAAAGACTTCTCATATTGAAAGATCGCAGATTGATTCTACGCCTACGCTTTTTTTCTTTTTCTTTTTTACCTTTGCTTTTCTGCAGTTAGGCCTTTGTCCCCCCACCTCCCCACCCCCCCTTTTTTTTTTTTTTTCTTTTTTGAGTTTCTACTAACCTTTATTTTTCAAAATACTGTAATTGAAACAGATTTCATGGCTAACAATCAATCCATACTTATTCGCCTCTTCCTTACTTAATTCTTTTTTTATTAAAAATTTATTTGTCTAATAAACATACAAGAAAAAAGAGAATCCTTAAGTCGATTTAATCAAGGAACTTTAAAAAAAATTAATTTATGTGCTATTTATATACTGATTTTTTTTCTAAATTTTATCATTATTTCGTAACAAAATTTTGCAATCTGTCTTTAAATTTTTTATTATAATTTTTAATAAAAATTACGTAAATTTCATTTAAATAATTTCAATTGAAAATGGTAGATCTTTCACAACCTCTCTCAATCACAAACGACTAAAGAGTGCTTTACCTAATTCAAATTTCATTCTTTTTAATTGTTCACAACCATGTGTGTACACATGTGAGTAATTGACAAAATTAGGTCTCAATTTATTTTAGAACTAGTAATATTTAAACTAAAATATTTTTAAAAAATTTTGAATTATTTTATTTTTTAAAATAAATTTTTATATTTTTATTGTATCTAAATAACCTTTTATTTTTTAATTTGTATTTAAATAAATTTTTATTTAACAAAATTGATTTATGTTAATAATTTATTTAGATATAAATTAAAATTAAAATTTATTTAGATAAGGTCTCATTTGAAGCTCATGTCCTAGCATTTTGAGATTTGGCAAATCCGAAAGAGACATTCACCATTTTAATGCTTGGATTGTTTACTATGCAAGTCACCAACATCCAGTGATATTTTTTCTTTCTAGAGTCATGAGTGGATGATTTGTTGGCTCTGCTTTTTCAATAGGATAATATTTGATTAAGAATATATTTGCATATAAGATTACGAAAAAATATGAAAAATAATATTATAAATAAGATTAAATTAAATAATATTATTTTATTTTATATTTAATATTTATAATTATTATAATATAATAATTTTATTTATTAGTCAAATTTTTTTAAAATTTATATAATTTAAGTAATTAATATAATTTTTAAATATATAATGAGATATATATATATAAGATCAATCTCATAAATTAAATTTTTTTTTGTTTAGAGAAAATTGAATTATCCTATATTAAAAGAATGATTAATTTTTTTTACAATTTTATTATTTTCTTTAAATATAAATTAAATATAATATAAAATAATTATCATCATATTTTGTCATACACCCAACATAACCTTAATCTCTGAATCATATATATTTTATGATTTAATATTTATAAAATAAATTTAGAGGTATTCAAATTTTATTTTTATCATAATATTTTGATTCACATATTAATTTTATTAATAATAAACTTATGTGAAAAAAAAATAACCAATATCATGATATATAGTACATTTTTAATGACCAGTATATCATGTTAATATTTTAACTAAAAATATTAATCGATAATACAAAATATTTGACGAATTTTTTATAAATCCTAAATCATTATAAATAATATAATTCAAGACTAAATTACATATTACAAATACCGGAGTTGATTTTTTTTTATACTTTGCATACAAATTTTAAACAACCGTCCAACAAATTAAGTGCTGGGTAAGCTTGATTTGATTGAATTTTTTTTGCTTAGAATTCAAGTTAGACTGTGGGTAATCATCTTTTAAACAGTTTAACAGTTCCACTTTCTCAAGAAATTCTGAAATTGTTGAAGCATGCTCAATTTTTTTTTTCCCTACAAATGGAGAGATGATAATATTGACTAAAGTCAAAACTGGTTGCTTCTCATTGGAATTCTCTTTTGTGTCCAGAAAGCAAAAGCCTTTTCACAATAACAAATTGGTCAAATTTAGTCTAAAATCAGATTGATTTAGACATTGATCATGATTTTGTCCTAATTGTGGGTGTCAATCACATGATAAAAGAAAAGAAAAAAAAAATGCTTTTGATTCATCAAGCAGAATGGTTCAAACATTAGAGAACTCTGTGGGGACAGGAGAGCCTGAAAACATTAGGACCAGCAGCAAGGGTGGGACATGTCAAAGCTACTGGTTATTGCAACCTTGCAAGATTTATATAGAAAAAACAAGTTAAGGACCACAACGGGAGAGAAAGAGAGAAAACCGTTTTATATGAATATCTCTTCTTAAAGATGATACACGAACTAACGATTTTATTTAAAAATTCCGTATGTTTCTTATTATGTCTAAATCAAATATATCATTGAAATTTTGGATATTCGGAAGATATTCTATGAGCATTCATGATTGTCGAATTGGCTTGTTCATGAAGGTGTGATCATCAAAGTCTAAACGACCTGATTTATGTGATTACAACTTTGACTTCTTCCACTTGGTAGTTATGATCAATTTTTCCTACTTATATTTTAAGGCTTAACAGATCTGATTTTGTATGTAAGTAGATTAGGTACCCCCATGAGTGGGTTACTTGAACATTACAAAAGAGCATTCCCGGTTTTCTTTTACAACAATTTAATGATCAGTTGTTTCCATTTGACCTGATCTCTTTTATGACCAACATCCGAGAGTGACTGAAATCTAAATTTTAATTCCCGTATTTAGGTTGCGTTTTGACGGGAGAGTCCTGTCATAAAACGCAGTCACCACGAGATATAAGGGACTCCTATCGCTCTTCTGCCAAAGGGAACCTTTAGTTTCTTGAGGAAAGAGATTTTTTTTGTCCCGGGATGACTTGGCTTCGCAGCTATGCATTGAAGTTTGATACCATGAACACAAGGATAGGTTTCTGTTTTTTAAAATGGATTATCCTTTTGGGCTGAGCATCCATTGCTTCAAAGCCAAGCCAAGTTTTGAGGACTCAGATGAAAGTATGGAATCCCCAAGCAAATTTAATTTGCAAGGGTAAGATACCAAACCCCATGCCAATACCATCATTCAAGTACAGAAATTTTCAGTCAGAAGGAAGGCATTCCTAAATTTTCAGTCATGTGCTTGAGGCAGCAATCAGCATCCAAATTTCTTACCTCTTCTTTATGGATAAGAATAATTTACATTTGCTGACTACGGCACTGCAGAATCAATGAAGCATAATCCTTTCCTGATTCCACCCCATCAAAGATGAACTTAACTTGTCCACACAAAAGCACATATTCTGTTACTTTAGATTGATGTTTAAAGTAAAAAAGAGGAACACAAGAATTAAGTGGAAATCTTTATCGGTTGTTCCTTTTTTATTTTGTAGCATTGACGATTTCCCAACAGAGGTTTTGATTCGTTGCTTATCTGTCTGGTCATAAAACTGTACCAAGGCCAATTAATTCTGGAAAAAACCACAGACTTGCACAGTAAGCCCATTCGGACTGCTTTGTTGCGTTTCATTTTTCAATCCTGATCCAGCTGCTCAAAAGAAAATTATGCCCACTTGAGGAAACTCGGATACAATCATGGAATTTAGTATTCAGGAGTTAGTAATCTGCATGATTAGTATGAACTTAATGCGATTCACGAATATGCTGTCACCGAATTCTAGATAATTAACACAGGATGATTACAATGAACTACAATTTATTAAGATCGCATTTTTTCCATCACGTGAAAGAATTTTTATTTTGTAGCATTGACGATTTCCCAACAGAGGTTTGGATTCGTTGCTTGTCTGTCTGGTCATAAAACTGTACCAAGGCCAATTAATTCTGGAAAAAACCACAGACTTGCACAGTAAGCCCATTCGGACTGCCTTGTTGCGTTTCATTTTTCAATCCTGATCCAGCTGCTCAAAAGAAAATTATCCCCACTTGAGGAAACTCGGATACAATCATGGAATTTAGTATTCAGGAGTTAGTAATCTGGATGATTAGTATGAACTTAATGCGATTCACGAATATGCCGTCACCGAATTCTAGATAATTAACACAGGATGATTACAATGAACTACAATTTATTAAGATCGCATTTTTTCCATCAAGTGAAAGAAAATGCTTGCTAGTCCCGTAACTATCAGGGATACAAACTCCAGTAGCACATCCACTGGTCAGACGACATAGCTCAAATTAACACAATCAAGTATATCCTGAGAAGCAACTCGGATAAACTATAGACACAACTTACAGCTTTGAAGCTGCATCTTTGTCCAAAAACCACACCAACTCACCTTCCGGTGAAACCATCTGAACAGGCAAAATATCGGAATTTTGACTATTTCCTAATGCAGCATGCACAGGACCAGCTTTACCAGCACCACACACCACCAGTGCGATATAAGCAGATGAGTTGATAACAGGAAAAGTGAAGGTAATTCTCTCTGGGGGAGGTTTTGGTGAGTCCTTAATGAAGGTAACCCACTTTTCGTTCTCCTTGACCAGAGGGTGGCCTGGAAAGAGAGAAGCCACATGTCCATCTGGTCCCATTCCCAGAAGCATTAGATCAAACTTTGGAAGTCCAGTAGCGGGTGAGACACTAATCACGCCACTCTCAACCAAATGCCTAAGACAGGTCTCATAGTCATCAGCTGCACCTTCAGCAGGCAGTGCATCATTGATGGCATAGACATTTCCAGGAAGAATTGTTACCTGCAGGAGAGAAAATACACGCTTAACTTGAATGCCTTGGGAAATTGGAAAATCCTAACACCACCATAGAACCTGCACTGGAAGATAACTTGGCTAATTACTAATGACAATAATTTCATCTTGCACAGACCAAAAGAATTTACCTACCAAGTACCAAGTGAAGGCTGAATTATGGTGCAACATAAAAATGGTTACTTGAGAGCAGTCAAAATATTGATCATTATCAGGTTGGGAAAACTACAATGCATTTTAAACATTAACTTTCGTCCTCCTAAGGTAAAAACCAGAAGAGAATCAAATATATCCTCACTTGGATGGCACCAAGCAGTATGTTTGGAGTTTGGACATACAATCCATATTGGATTGCTCACTTTACTTTACAAATGATATGATATTACATGTGAGCTCCAAAAATAGCAAATTAGCAAAAAAAACCAATGCCATGTTAGCAATCAAAGACTAAAAACCTTTCTTTTTTTTTGGATAATGAAGTGAATTTTATTATCCAAGAAAAGCAGGAAAACCTGCCGCAGATAAAAGCACACTACAACAACAGGCAAGCACATTACAAGCAGAGCAACTCCAGCTCACTCAAACGCCTACGTACTCAGCCCAAACTTTTACGACTAAAAACCTTTTCATATCCATCATATTTACCGTAATTTAGTAACAATTAACCCACAACAGATTCATCATCATTTCAGCAGTGAGAAACAATAAACTAGAAACACAAATTTTCTTTGATTATACCTTTGAGAGAAATCCATCAAAAGCTAGCTTATAGTTACTGTCAACATGATTCTTAGGAACAACCCTTTCATCCACCCAGAAAACCCGCCAGGTTGACCAATCCACCGAATCAATATATGGGGATTCCACCAGTTTCCTGAAAGTTCAATTTCCCACATCATCAATTATCAGAAACCATGCAAATATTAATTCGAAACCTAAAAACTTTCTTTACATACAAAAGAAGAGAGGGAAGTAACCAGAAAAGGCACAAAATTTTGTAATATTTAGTGACGGAGCCAATTCATTTGAGAAAATAAGGGAAAAAAAAAGGAAATGGTAAAAATTAAGTGAAAAAGGGAAGGGCAATTAAAGACCTGAGAGACTTGATGAGAGAACCACCAGACAAAACGACAGTAAAAGTGCCTTTCTCTTTGGAGAACTTATCAGCTAGATCGGCGGTGTATTTAGCGAGGGATACCGACAGATCCTCCTCGGAATCAAAAACCTCCACCTTTCCTTTCCCTTTCTCAGTTGCGGTCCCCGCCATCGACGCCTTGGCTCTCCAACAAAATCTCCCGGAACCCGGAACACCTCTAATCCCGGTCGAGATGGCAAGCGTCTTATGCGTAAGGGGCTGCCGGAATAGCGAGGCCTGGATAGGAATGCAAGGTAATCTTCGATGTGACGCAGATGAGAAGAGAGTGCGAAGTGGAGTGGAGAAATGAAAAGGTGAAGATGCCATCCGCAGTGCGAACTACAACTTATAATTGAAGCGAGTGGGTGTGGACCTGACTGACCACTTTCTATGGAATTCTTTGAAAGATTGGTGCGTTTGGTTTGGTTGGTTTGTATCTAGTCGGAGGTTTCGGGTAAAACTGGTTCGGTGAAATGGTGAGGTGGCGTTACTAACAATGTGGGAGATGCTTTTGCGAAACACGTGGGCCTGAGATGACGTGTCCCATTGTCAAATTAAATTGTGGATTAACTTAGAACATTTACTGTTTATGCTAAGCTGGGTATTCTTAAAAAGAAAAAATGAAAAAGACGATTAAAGATAAAAGTATGATATGTTCTTTGCATTTCACTCCGATGAGTAAATAAAAAAGAGTGAGATCGAAAATGAAGTAGAAATGAGAAACAATGAGTTGAATGAACCTGTTTTAATTGTGCTTAGATTTTCATATTTATAAATAAGTTGTAAAAAATTATTAGGGTATAATAAAAATAATGTCAAGTTGATATGGTATTAAATATGTTAAATCAATCTAATATGTTAGTTAACATTCATGATAAAAATATTGTTGGTTATTTGTTGAAGGATTCTAAGAGGGAAAAAACCATTATACTTTTTTTATCATTAAATATCTCTAACACTTTATCTGTCCATAAAACAATCTAAGTATCAAATTGCTAAATGTATGATCGACGCCCCTAATGTAGGGCAAATTGGCAAAATAAGATGACCTAGAAGTTTGATTTTTCGAAGCCGATATTTTAAAAAGAGGTCGGTTTTAGGGGATAGCTAGCCTTGAGCCGTGGTTTGACCTTGTAGTTGTCTGAACTTGTGCATATATCTTAGGTTCAGTGTATAGCCAGCTTAAAAGTTGCCAAGGTGATAATTATTCAGAATGATTTAAGGTTAGTGTTGGAGTTCGTCTAATCATCGTAAAACTTGTATTTCATTTCAAAAGCTTGGATTTGAACATTTACTTTGAAATCTAATGGTGAATCGGGTTCTCAGTTTTCCCTAAAGAGTCGTCTGGTTTAGTCGATCCTTTTTAAGTTTGTCCAGTAAGGTCAGTCTGATAACATTATATGAGGAAAGAGGTGTTCTGAATAAGAAAATTTAAAGGGGAAGACGAAAAAACGTATTCCCACCTTTGTTTTGACACGTAATACAGCATGTATTGTTGATTTGATCTGTAGTACGTCTATATAAGAAGCCATTAAGGCTTCAGTTTTTTACCTTTTTGCTTTCTTTGCTCTCAATCCGATATGAGCTTTTCGATTTTAAAAACTTTTCAGCTTTTAAAGTTTTATCACACCTTATTCGATATGTATTTTTAACCACATCTTTTAGTTTGAGTTTTGGGGAGGTCGATAGTTACTGGCTGGAACCTAAAGGAGGTCAGCACAGGCAGCCAAATGACAATTTGATTCCACCAATTATCGAGGGCCATTATTATGAGAAGATGGCCTACTGATTCAATCTGATGTCCAAAGAAGGGCAATAATAAGATGAAAATAATGCTTGGGTAAGAAAAAAATAGGTTCTGAACATGAAAGAGTTATATACTTAAATTGACTTCAACCTACAAAATCCACCACATTTTTCCATCTTTCAAGTTAGTCCATCTTTTATAGCCAACCTTTATTCATCCTTGATTGTTTCTTTTTCTGGGGTTCAGTCTCATTAATTTTTTTTTACCTCTGCTTTTTCCCCTATCAATGCTCCTGTCATCACTTTCATTCTACCCCAGTTAATTCTTGTTGAGATTTTTTCATCTCTTGAAGGGTATCCACCTCATCCTTCTTCATTTTATCCTTCTTCACTTTGATTTGAGTTATTTTCAACCACAATTCAACCTCAAAATCATTGTTCTGCTTAGGAGTCAAAATCTTTTGGTTGTAAAGATTCTGACGAGAATGGTTTTGAGGAGAAACAAAAAAAGAAAGTACCTTCATTAAGGAAAACAATGGCCAAAAGAGGAATATTGTATAGCAGGATGAATTGGTAGAGGTCCTTATGTATACTATTTGTGACCCCGACGTGATCCCTAATCCTAAAAATTGTCCTAACATGTATTTAGTTCATCACTTTCATGCTTTAGTTATGACTTTCTTTTTTTTCAGAGAGGGATATAATATAATAATGTCAAACTCCTCAAATCAGGTCATTGATAGACTAAACCATATTGACTCTATGTGTATTGAGATTTCTTTGTGATTGGTTTAAGGTTTTCGCTTCATCCTTTATTTGTTTTAATTTTTAATTTTTAAAATTTGACTATCACTTAGCTTACTCCTAACTCTATACGATACATAGTTGCCTTCATTGTTCTTTGTCAACATTTAAACATCTTTCCCTCTCTCCCTCTATTTAAGAGTTCTTTGTTTTAAAAAGCACCTAAACGATAGTGGGTGGTACTACATAACAGCTCGACCTAATAAGAAATTATTTACCAATTGTTCGAGCTTAATAAAAAATTAAAAAATGCTCTTTTTTACCTTGAAAATCAAAAAATAAATAAAGATGGTGAGCCAGGGTCAAGGTTATTTCGAGATTAAGGCTTGGGAAATAAAAATATGTTTGATACTTTCGTGGATACACCAATGGCTTTCTCTATCTTGGATTTATCAAATCTGGATAAAATTTTAGAATACACCCATAAAAGGGAGGTAATCATTAATGCCCACGAGCTGACCTCCCCAGAAGTAATAAATAAGATAAAGTACTGTGGTAGGTTTAAGGTAACATCATAAGATTTTATTTTAACCTAATTCTATCTAACTATTAGCTCAATTTTATAGAAATGGCTAGCAATGACGATTTTGACTTTGGACTATACCAACACACCACTATGCCCAATAAGGGCCAAAAAATTTAGCTCAGGATCCCGTCTTACGGAGGAGACAAGGTCGTTAATACCTTACTCCACCATTCTCCTGTAACCTGAAAAGTAGAGGCTAGGATTGGTCGAGATATATCCTTAACATTAGTAATAACACCTCATCTTCTTGCCAAAAAACCACGAGTTGAGGCTTCTCATTCGACTCTGGAGAATCTTCAGGCTAGGGTGTTAAGGCTTAGCTCGAAAAAGATATCTACCAATTTCAAATGCACTTTTAATGATGACCCTATCACCAACTTGACCATGATAAAGAGATTCAGCAAAGTTACGTTTTCTCTTCTTGGTAAGCACTGATTGGCTTTAGCTCGATTTTATCAGTATTTTTTATTTAGCTAATTTGAGGTCATTTTACACATTTTAACAAAAATTTTCCCTTCAACCCATGGATAATACTGATGAAGTCTTCCACCATGCCTACCTCATAATGACCCACATGTTAAGGGTTGAGAAAAACATGGCTACCTTGGCTGAAAAACACAAGAAAAGCTCAAACATACTAGGCAATGTTTGATCTAGCCTTAGTGCATCCCACAAAAAAAATTGAGCAGAGGAAAAAATTTGACAAGTTGACAACAAAGCTGAAGGTTATCCTGATTGACAAAGCTTCAGCTAACTCAATAAGAGAGTAAGTCGAGCTCAAGCTTAATGATGCTCAAGTTAAGATCGTAAAACTGAGGTATAAGCTCGAAGATAGGGAAAAAGAGGAAGAATACCTGAAAAAAGGTCATAGAAGAGTTAAAAGCTTTCAATGAGTGCCTTTAGATGAAGGTGGAGTTTTTCAAAAAGAACATAGCCAGTGCCTTCTAGCTGACCAAGAATGAGGTACAATTTAAATTCTCTACCCTCAACCTAAACCTCTTTGATATTAATATCAACAATATCATATCGAGATCTCGTCCAAATCAACCTGAAAAAGATGAGAAAAAGGAAAAAGATAATGATGGTGAGGCCTTAAAGGCCAAGCTGAAGGTAGCTCTAAAACTTAAACATGAGGTGGAAAAGGTTAAAGAGAATGGGTCATCACTACTACTCTTACTAATGAGGATGCTGCTCCCACTACTACTACTAACGTTGTAGATGCATGATTTTTTTAACTTTTTATTTTTTATTTTTCTAAATTTTTGTTAATGTATAAGGTCAATTTTTTGTAATAACTTCAAATAAGAATGATATGCTGACATCATTTATTGATAATTTTTACAATGATTAATCAATATAATTTCTTGTTCAAATAAGCCTAAACTTCAACTCAAGTTAGCCTTATTATCATAATTTTTTTATTCACACAAGTTTAACCAATGTTAATCAAAGAAATTTTAGCCTAGTTAACTAAACTGAGGATTTGTGTTATCCTTTAGATTAAATTAACTTGAGAATTCATCAAAGTTTTAGATCGACTTTTATTAGATCGGTAGGTATAAACTTATTAATCATAAGTTAATTTATGTATTCAAGTATAAAATACAAGTGTGAGCTCAGTTTAGATCAAGCTACTGATAGTAGACTTTTAAATTATCTGCATTCTATATCTTTGGAATGATATCGCCATTCAAGTTTTATAGTTTGTAGATCATGTCATGGATGACTTCTTTAACAACATATGACCCTTTCTAGGTTAAGACTAATTTGTCACCTTAGTCATCTACTCTTGAGGATTCTTCTTTTTTAAGCACCAGATCGTCTTTCTTAATATACTTATGTCAGGCTTTTTTATTATAATAATTGGCCATTTTTTACTGATAAACTGCTATCCTTGTTAAGTTTATGTCTTTTTATTCTTTGATGAAGTCAATATCGACCTTAAATGCTTTTTCATTTACTTCTAATCCTAATTCAACTCTTAATTTTGGAAGGTTGATCTTAACAACTACCATAACTTTTGTTTCAAATGTCAAATGGGATAGGGTTTCGCTAGTGGATACCTTTGTGATCATCCTCAAGGCCTATAACACCCCTGATAGCTCATTGATCCACTTTCTTTTTACTACATAGAGTTTTTTCTTTAAAGCTTATAATATTATCTTGTTCGTAGCTTTGATCTATCCGTTGGACTGAGAGTGGGCAACCAACGTGAACCTAAAGTTGATGTGAAAGTTTGAACACCATTCTTTCAACCTTGAGTTTTCAAATTATTTACCTTTGTCTATTATTATAGATAGAGGTAAACCAAATCTACATACTTTGTTTTTCTACACAAATTTCTTAACTTGAGCTTCTATAATAGTAGCCAAAGCC